GCAGTATCTGCGCCAACGACATTGAAGTGCCAGTGGTACCCGCAGGGGCAGATGAGAACAGTGCGACGGGCACGAGCATGTTGCTGCAACGACGGCAGTATATGGTGACGCCGTGTCGGCACATTTTCCATACTGGCTGTCTCGAAGGGTGGATGCGGTATCGGCTCATGTGCCCTAATTGCAGAGAGAGTCTGCCGCCTCTATAGAGCGAGAAATGAATACACGTTTATTCATATATGCAGGTACTATGTGTACTAGATTGTCGTTTACAAAAGGGATGCGTAATATAGTCACGTGGTGTCATTCTTTGTCGAAGTCCGCGTAAACAAGTGGGCTTGCAAATCATCATTAGCGACGTCGTCATCGTCGTGTTGATCCACCTGCACTGCCAAAAGGTCTGACACAGATGCCTCTGCCACGGGTTAGTGAGAAGCAAGTCATGCTGTCGCAGCAGGGACATGGCCACGGTTCTGGTTGCAAGATTGCTGCGGGTGTGCCCGGCAGGCACTGAGTTTGGCATGGCTGATGGGGTGTTTGTTATTCTTAGCCCCGGAACGCCACACTTAGCCGCCCCGATGCGATGAGTGGCTGGGGCTACCAAGATCCTTGAAGGCCGCCACGCGAACCCTGGCCTTCGCTGCGCATACGCAACCCTCAGCCTCTCCTTCACTCCACCCTCGTTTCCCACTGCATGTCCGCTGCGCTAATTTTTTAGAATACGACAGCTGTGTCTCTCTCTCCGAAACCTTGCTTCCTGCCTGATTTCTGTGGTCATCTCTCCTTGGACCCCCCAAAGACAAGTCTGCTCTACATCCGTTTGTCTACACAATTGTTCGTCGCTGCCGCCTCGGCTCCAGCTGCACCACGCCCTGTGCCCTTTAACCCCGCAGCTTATTGTCGTACATGCTACGTACATAACCAACGTCGCATTCACCGCCTGCTCTCATACAAGAGACTCGACTCCTATCGAAGCGCACATCCCGTTGTGCCGCTTGTCCCGCTGTTTCATCGCGGCTTTTAAAACCGCTCCGGCGCCTGATCACCATGGCCGCCAACGACTACTACAACAATAACAACAACCACAACCCCAACCTCTACGGCCAGCCACCAGACAGAAACGATGCGCCTCTGCCTGTACTGCCAGGAAATCACACACAAACCCCAGTCTCGCCTGTCGGCTCGCCCTTTGACGACCGGCCGCATCCCGTGCATACACACAGCAGTGGAGCCATGAGTGGCATGCCAATTGATACCACGTACTCGAACACCTCATACCAACCGCCCACTCAGTATAGCTCCACCGCACACATCAACGATCCCCATGCGCGGCAGCCAGACCCGTTTGCAGACCAAAATGCAATACCCTTGCAGAATCAAAACAGGAGGAATGACGGTAGCCCTGTACGATACGACAATGATCCAGAGTTTTATGGCATGGGAGTAGAACCGAGGAGAAGGAGCAGTAGAAAGAAGAAGAAGAAGGGCTTGTTCAACGGAGGAGTCACATGGGTCGTATACATTCTTACGGCAGTGCAAGTTGGCGTATTTATTGGAGAACTGATCAAAAATGGTTCGTATATACGGTGACTTCGAGGCTGGACTATGTGCTAACAAGATATCCAGGTATGCTAACCGGCTCTCCCATCCAAACCAAGCCAAACTTCAACATCATGATTGGCCCTTCGCCCTACGTCCTCATCAACATGGGTGCTCGCTTCACGCCCTGTATGCACAACATCAAACGGGTAATTGAGGCCAACCCTCCGGTCGAGTGGCCATGCCCCAACACCACCGTCATCACCCCAAACACACCGCAGTGCACCTTGGCCGAGCTCTGCGGTATGGGCGGCGGCGTTCCTGACCAGCGCGACGTAACCGACTTCAAAGACCGAAGCCACGAGCCCAACCAATGGTGGCGCTTCATCACCCCGATGTTCCTCCACGCAGGTGTCATCCATATAGGCTTCAACATGCTACTGCAATGGACCCTCGGTCGCGACATGGAAAAGGAAATCGGCCCCTTGCGCTTCGCTCTCGTATACTTTTCCGCAGGCATCTTCGGTTTCGTTCTCGGCGGCAACTACGCACCCGACGGTATTACATCTGTCGGCTGCTCCGGTTCTCTCTTCGGTGTCCTCGCTCTCAATTTGTTGGACCTGCTATACAACTGGTCTACGCGTCGTAGCCCCATCAAAGACTTGCTCTTCCTCCTCCTCGACATGGCCATTGCCTTCGTCATCGGTCTCTTACCCGGTCTCGACAACTTCTCGCATATCGGTGGATTCCTGATGGGTCTCGTCCTGGGTATCTGTATCATCCATTCACCCGAGGCGCTCCGAAAACGCACCGGTCAGGGCGAACCACCCTATGCAACCGTGGATACACAGCCTCTCGCCCCGAAAAGCGAAACCTCAGCGTCGAAAGTCACGGCGTTTGCGAAACAACCAATTGGGTTTTTCAAGGGACGAAAGCCCCTGTGGTGGGTGTGGTGGCTTGTTCGTGCTGGTAGTCTCATGGCGGTGTTTATAGGGTTTATACTGCTGCTGAGGAACTTTTACGAGTGGAGGAATACCTGTAGTTGGTGTAAGCATTTGTCTTGTTTGGTAAGTCATTCTCCCCCCCTCCCCCGTCATTTGCCTTTCGTCTAGTGGAGAGGCGGACTTGGACTAACGGTTTACACAATAGGATGTCACGGTGAATGGTGTCAATTGGTGCGATATGGGTAATTTGAAGCTTACTTCGAATCAGACTAGCAAGAGGGATCTGGGGGGTCTTATATAGGGACATGGGTTGCTTTTAGGTGCGGAGATGTTACATTTTTTTCTCTTTGTTGTGAGGAATTGAAAAAAGCAAGCATTTATACCACCCCCATGCATGGCATGTCTTTTTTTGTTTGTAGCATATAAGTTGGGTGGGGGGGGGGTATTTGAATACCCCGGACCGTAATGAGTATGATTTTTCTACATGTCGCCTTTTCAGTGTAACCGAATGAAAGATGAAGAGAAGACATCAAAGCTATTTGACCAGAGTATACATATCGAGTACTTTTTTTCCCCATGTCCATATCCTGTTACTCCTTTTTTCCCCTTCTTTTGCATACCCACGTCCTATTCCTCACTCAAGTTCAAGCTACCACTAGCCCATCCACGCTACCACTGCGAAGTCTCTGGGGGACCCCCAATCTGCACAGTTGGACCAACTGGCTCCTTCCAGTCCGGAGGCGTCGTGACCTTGTACTCGAGATAGCTAGCAACCAGCGGCCTATACATTTCCATGTGCCCCGTCACATCGTCCCTCACCAGCACATTCTTCGTGTTCAAGTGGTCAGGTCGAGTTTTTTCTTCGACGCTGAGAAAGCCGCCGGACAGCCGATCGAGGAAGATGTTGAAATCGTCTGCTTTGTTGATTTGGCAGCGAGCGCCTTGAGACTCGCAGTGCGACATGAGTGCCGTGGCGCTGTTGAAGTGCTTGAGACACTTGGGGCATTTCATGCGTGTGACGCGGTGTTCGCCAAGAATGTGCTTGTTTAGGTCGCCGACACAATCGAAGGTTTGTCTGTATATGTTAGCAAAGGCGAATCGTAGATATGTGTAAATTGTGTCAACTTACTCGCAGATGAAGGGACAGTGGTACTTGCCCACTATGGCGTCGTAGAACTTCTCGGGGTTCCAGTCAGTACTCATGGGATCCCAGAAGCGTGAGCGCAAGATGTTGATGCCGTGTTCCTGCTCCATGGCAGCGTCATGAGCCAAGATAGAGAAGTCTTTGGGAGGATTAGGCTTCGCATCGGGGAACAGCGTAGCAGAAGTGGACTTTTCCTTGCGGCTGACCCAGGTTTTAAGCTTGGGGCTAGATGGACGTGGCACTCCTTTGGGGTGGAGAGATAGCTCATCCATGACCGGGGTGAGGGTCGTATCGGGTTCAATGGCTTTGAAGTCGACTGCCTCAATCTCCTTGTCATCGTCCAACGGATCATCGAGCACGATACCACCTTCCTCTTCGTAATCAATAGCCGCGTCGAACTTGGATGTCTTTTGTCGAAAGCGGTCCAATGCCGGACCGCATTTCAAGAGCTCGCCGATCAGTTGCTTGTGAATGATGTGACCCTGAAACTGCGATGCCGAGATCACACCGCAGTGACCAAATTCGAGGTGCTCAATGAACAGGGAGGCACGGTAGAAAGATTCGTTGCATCCGATGCAGGTTAGCTTCTGGTCAACCTTGTGGTTGAGCTCGATATGGCGCTTCAGACCAGAGGTGCTCTTGAACTCGTCGCCGCACACACGGCATGCACGACCGTGTTCTGCCGGGCGTGTAATCTTATGCATGGCATAATCTTCGAACGATTCAAAGTCCTCATCACACTTGTAGCAGTAATCATGCTCGTCGGAATGTTTTTTGTGGACCCTCATCTGTTTCTCGGTATCGAAGGACATGTTGCAGTCATTGTACGTGCACTTGAAGCGCCGGATTGGCTCGAGTGAGGCAGGCATGTTGGCTTCTGTTGTTGAGGCGAGAGTGAGTAAGTAGAATTGCAAAGCAATGGTAGTTTTGCTCAGACAGTTGTGGACTGCCTCTGCGGGTACGAGACAGCTTATGTGATGGGTAAGGTAAGATGTCAAGTGAATTGAACAAAGAAGGGCAAACAAATTTACCTTGGCAGGGTCTGGAAGAGAAGGATGTAGAAAAAGAATTCTGAAGCTAGGAGGTGATTGGAACGTTGCTAATATAGAGGGAACAAGCGGTGACTGATCAAAGGTGAGAGATATGTGAGGCAGGAACGGTGAAGTTTGGTAGGTGCGGAGGAAAGTACGCTCTAGAGCCACAACAAACCCCTCTTACCCGTGCAATATAAACAGGGTAAGAAAATAATTTATACACTATGAAGAGATCTGGTTATTCTGTGACTGCGTCGCGTGAATTACAACACCTTCTGCGTCCTTGAGCGCTCGTATTTCCATGAATGCAAAAAATTGAATTGGATAGGTATCGTGAATGGTCTAGAATCGCGAGTATGGCAACCTGAATCGTCATTAGCGATGAATGAGGAGCTTTACTTTGCAGCAAACGTACCACTTGCCCCTCAGGGTAATCTTGGCCCACTCGCCCTTGTCATCAGTTTCCTTCTCCACCTTTGTGCTGAAAGAGATGGCGCTCATGATGCCATCTCCAAACTTCTCATGCATGACGGCTTTGTAAGCCTGACCATAGTTTTGCACAATCTCATAAAGACGGTAAATGGTAGGGTCTTTAGGAGGCATATCGAGAGTGCTGCCTCGGTTGGGGAATCCACCCAACTGGGACTCAAGCTTTCCTGGGTCAATCTCAAGGACCTCAGAGAGTTTCTGGACATCCTCGGGTGAAGCCATGGCTTGGCCGTAGAAGAGGGCAGCGATTGCGACTTCGTCACGTCCTACATGTTTTGCAATGGCTTCAAAAGTAAGGTTCTTTTTCTTCTTTGCCTCAAAGAGTGTTGGGGATGACGGGGGAAGGCGAGGGATAAGCTCCTCCTATATCTACATGAGCATGGCTCGACTGGTTTTCAGAATTTGTAGCAAAACATACGTTTAGAGTAGCAACAGGATGTTCTCCCATGGAGATGGGAGTTGAGTGGAAGCATCTTGCAGCAGTAAGAGGGACTACAGGCCGGACAGAAGTGAATGCACGAGATGCCAGTCTGGCGGAGACTGCAAGGCGGGGAGAGAAGGCCATGATGTAGGAATTCGCCACAGTGTATACAGCGAGAATGAAAGATTTGTGCGTATTATAGGGTAAAGAAGAAAGTGCAGCCGTTCGCGCAGCGGGATAATAGATATACATAGTTAGAGGAGCAGATAGATGTACAAGGGTACGTCATCCATCGCAACGGCCATCATGATTACGCGAACTTGTGGGGTACATGATGATGCAAAGCTTATCTATTTAACCCGCGGATGCCCCTGTGCTATCCCTTTGCTCAATAGCCTGGAATGTTTGTGAAGCGTTGGCCAGCAGAAGTAGTATGTGTGCCGTCGGTGGCAGTGAGGGGCCAAGGGTGAGGGGTGAGGTGAGGGGCACGGAGGACGGGTACGGGTACGGACAGGCGGTTGGATGCATGCCATCACTATCCGCCCCCCCATGTATCGACTGCAATGCTGACCAGGAGAAATCAGGGTACGCGCAATTGATTGGGCATCGGCGCGGATTCCAGCTCGTCCGTTCGCCAGCTACGTCGTCGCTCACACCCTTGCTGACCCTCCTGGCGCTAAGCCTGTGACGCGGGGCTTGTCCGACCACCTCGACCTCCAGCTCCGTCAGCTCTTGTAGCTCCCAACAACACAATCGTTCCGATTTCTCTCTTGACACTCACTCTCCCAGCCTCTGTGCCAGCACCGCCATGTCTCGCCGAGACGACGACTTGGCGTACGGTGAGTACAATGCCCAAGAAGGGCAGGAGGGCGATCGCGGCCTCATAGGCGACATGGGTCGGCGTTTTGGCTTTGGCAAAAAAGAGGTGAGTACCTACATACGCCTCCTCCAGACGCCATGCTGTCATTGCATGCTCTGTATCTACTACCAGCTTGCTGTATCCCTGGGGCTGCCCCACCATGACCGTCAAAGCGCCAGACTAGTCTCGTCATTCACTAATCTCGCCCGCTTTCCTGGTCTTTTGTTCACTGTATCGCCTTAAGAGAAGCTTGGTTCTCCAAACAAATCCCTAACTCAACATATACAGAATACCCAGCCCCAGTCTTCATCCTCACAGCAAGGTGGCGGCGGCGGCATGTCGTTCTTCAAAAAACTCCATGATCCTCTTCATGATTTTGTCTCCGATCTCAAAGATGCCATAAGTGGCGACGACAACAACAATCAGCAGAAACCCCCAGCGGGAACATCCGAGCAGACAGGACAGTCTGCTGCCGCCCAAGAATATCATCAGCAACATCGCTTCTCCAGCTTCGCCCCAGAACGACATGGCAACGAGACCAAGTGGTATGTCGATGGATGCTCGTACATGTACGCCGTATCCATAGCTCTCGAGCGCGCCAAAGAGTCCATCTGGATCCTCGACTGGTGGCTTTCCCCCGAGCTCTACCTTCGCCGTCCTCCTGCCAAGAACCAGCAGTATCGTGTCGACCGCATGTTGCTTGCTGCTGCTGAGCGCGGCGTCAAGGTCAACATTATTGTTTACAAGGAGGTTACCCAAGCCCTTACTCGTAAGTTACTGAATCCGTTGCTGCCCAACTATCTTCATTCTCTCCTACCGAGTTCGACGGACATGTTTACCAAAGCGCTTACGCGCATCGGCCTGGATGTCATATTCAAATCGCTTGAAGAGTGGGAAAAGACAGATCCGCTGATTGCCCCACCTATTACAGTCTCCTCAGCCCATACAAAACACCACTTGGAAGATCTCCACCAAAACATTGGTGTTTTCCGACACCCCGATCACTTGCCTGACGCCGCAGTGCTGCAATCGAATTTCTTTGCTTCTATGAAGAACATGTCTTTCACTCCGGCAGCACTCGCTCAACTCCCAGGAGATGGCCTCAAGGCAATCTACGGTGCTCACGAAGGCACAGTCATGTACTGGGCACATCACGAAAAGCTTTGCTTGATCGATGGCCACATCGCATTCATGGGAGGACTAGACTTGTGCTATGGCCGATGGGACACCAACCAGCACGCAATTGCTGATGCCCATCCTGGCAATATCGACAGAATTGTCTTCCCAGGTCAGGACTTTAATAATGCTCGTATGCTGGGTAAGTTAATATCTCAAGTTGCAGGGTTTGGTCAATATTCCATAGCTCTGCCGGCCAAGCTTTAGTCTGCTAGTAATGCTAACTCGGGTATAGACTTCCAGGACGTTACCAACTGGGAAAACAACAAGCTTGACAGGACCCAAAGCTCTCGTATGGGATGGTCCGATGTTGCCTTGTGTGTCTCCGGTCCGGTTGTTCAGGATCTGCGTACTCATTTTACGCAACGCTGGAATTTCATCTACGACGAAAAGTACAGCAAGAAAGCCACCCGATACGCCAGACTACCCGATACCAGCAGCGGTGCTCAACAGGCGCCAACTCAACAACGGGATTTCGAAGGAGACGAAGGAGAGCGTGGTTTCGGTGGCCATGAGGAGGGTGATCGAGGAATTTTCGGCCACGGTGGTCTACGCCAGAAGATGTACAGCAAGTTTGATCAGTACGGTCAGGGTCACGGTTCCTATCAACCTCACCAACAGTCCCATGCGGAGCACAGCTCGCAGAAGGGTGGTGTCGACTGCCAAATTACACGAAGCTCTGCCAAATGGAGCCATAACCTGGTCACCACTGAGGTCAGTAAAAGCGCACACCAATATTAGACAACCTAGGCTAACAATATATAACAGCATTCGATTCAAAATGCCTACTGCGAAATCATCCGCAACAGCAAGCATTTCATCTACATTGAGAATCAGTTTTTTATAACTGCCACAGGTGACCAGCAGAAGCCGATCAAGAACCAGGTCGGTGCGGCCATTGTTGAACGCATTGTCCGCGCTGCGAGAAATGGCGAGAGGTACAAGATGATTGTTATGATTCCGGCTGTGCCGGCTTTTGCGGGTGATCTGAAGCTCGATGAAGCACTCGGTACCCGTGCTATTATGGAATGTGAGTGACCAGAGACAGTTATGTCAACATCAGGTAAAACCAAAATTTGCTAACCACTTCATCAATTACAGTCCAGTACGACTCCATCAACCGTGGTGGTCACTCGATCTACGAGGAGATTGCCAAGGCAGGATTCAACCCAATGGAGTACATCCGGTTCTACAACCTTCGCAGCTACGACCGTATCAACTCCAGTCAGGTCATGCAGGAGACGGAGCAGCGCAGTGGTGTTTCTTACACGCAAGCTCAGGAGGGCTTCGATGCTGCCCACGACAACGCACGTGGCTACCAGGCTTATCGTCCCCCGCCTACTCAGGAATATGGCGTGTACGAAATGGATGGTTCCTCCGCCCCTCAACAGCAGTACGATGGTGGCCCACAAAGCCAAGGCAGGAAGAGCGACTATGACCGTTACCAGCAAGAAGCAATGAAGGTCGGTGGGCGACAAGGCCTTGGCGATGGACGCTGGGATACTGTCAGCGAGTGTTACATGCTCGGAGGCGAGGACATTCGTAACGTGCCCTGGGAAGGTAGTCCTGATGCTGAGATGGATGCTTTTGTGTCTGAAGAGCTATACATTCATAGCAAGCTCTTGATCGCTGATGACCAGGTTGTCATCTGTGGGTCCGCTAACCTCAACGACCGCTCGCAACTTGGCGATCACGACTCTGAGATCGCGATCATCATCCACGACCCCAACACGGTAGAGTCTTCCATGGACGGACAGCCATGGCGCGCGTCCGAGTTTGCCGCATCTCTTCGAAGGGAAATCTTCCGAAAGCATCTCGGCTTGCTCAAACCTCAGGACATGGAGCGACCAGATGCCAACTATGAGCCTGTAGGAATTCCCAACCAATACGATTGGGGATCGCAGGAAGATCGCCAAGTTGTAGACCCCATTTCTGAAGAGTTCTGGAACCTATGGAACTGGAGAGCACACACCAACACACAGGCTTTCGGAAAAGTGTTCCACCCCGTGCCTAGTGACGAGGTCAAGAACTGGAAGCAATATGACGAGTACTATTCTCGCTTCTTTGGTCAGGATGAGAAGGCCAAAGAGAACAAGAAGCCGTCATTGTACAAGTGGGGCCATGTTGTTGCCGAAAACTTTGCTCCAGGCGAGCAGGGTGTGCGCGAGGTCAAGGAGATTCTCAGCACGATCAAGGGCAACCTCGTTGAGATGCCATTGCTTTTCCTGAAAGAGGAAGACATTGCCAAGGAGGGTGTGGGGCTGAATGCTCTTACCGAGGAGCTTTACACTTAGTTTAGCGGGCTGAGTATGTTATGGTGAGCTGCACCAATTGGGTTTGGATAGCTAAAAGCCCATACCGCAATGAATACAATTGACAAGATTGAGCTTTCATAAAGACTGCAATGTGCAATGTGCAAATGGTACATGTTTGTGTATGTATATCGGTAGTTATGGAGGCAAAAGGCGTGTACTCCTGAACGGCGGCGAGAACCTCGTACTATCGGCGGATGTTGAATCCTAGCGCTGATCGCCCCTGGGTAAGCGTCGCGTATGTGAACTCCCCGGATTCGCGCGCAATCGTTGTGCGGTTTACCTTGGGCGTACGACCTCTTGTGTCGCCATGCCTCGATTACTCACGGCTCGAAATGCCGCGATACTCATCAACGTCGCACTCCTGACCGCCCTCTTCCTCCACCTGAAATCCGAACTCTGGGACAAGAGCGCCGTTGCGCCCGGACCGGCCAGTCTGACACACCTACCTGACGAACTCTACGACGAGCAACAAGCGAGCGACCAGTCGCACAAGCCAGAGGAGAAGCCGCTCCAAGCGAATGGCAGCGTCAAGGCGCAGCGAACGGCCGTGGTAGTCGCCAGCCAAAGTTCCGAGAACGCGACGTGGCTCGACGAGTACTTTCCCGAGTGGGAGAAGAACATCTACCGAGTCGACGACAAAAATGCGCCTCTCACCGTCCCCTTGAATAAAGGTCGCGAAAGCATGGTATACCTGACGTATGCGTCCTCTTTCCCTTGTACATAACCTACATTCCTATCCCCAAACAAACAGAAAAAAAAACTAAACAATGTCCAAAACAGCTACATAATCGACAACTACGCCTCCCTCCCCGACTACATCCTCTTCCTCCACCCAAACCGCTACCAATGGCACAACGACGACCCCGACTACGACGGCGTCCCCATGCTCCGCCACTTCCAATTCCCCTACCTCGCCCAACAAGGCTACGTCAACATCCGCTGCGCCTGGTCTCTGGGTTGTCCTGCTGAAATTAAACCTTTAGCGGAAGCCGGAGAGCACCGCGAAGCCGTACATGCAGGGGGCGATTACAAGAAGGCGTTTGAGAGGCTTTTTCCCGAGGAACAGGTTCCCGTGGCTGTGGGCGTGAGTTGCTGTGCGCAGTTTGCGGCGACGAGGGAGAAGGTGAGGGAGAGGAGTAGGGAGGAGTATGTGAAGTATCGAGAGTGGATTTTGGAGACGGAGTTGGGGGATGCGATTAGTGGGCGGGTGTTTGAGTATTCGTGGCATAGTAAGTTTTCCTTCCCCCTCCTTTTCCTCTTTTTTTTGAATCCCAGGGAATGGGTTAGCGGGGGGTTTCCGGTTGGGGCTGACTTGAATTGTTTTTGTGTGGAAAATAGTTATTTTCGGGAAACCAGCTGTGCATTGTCCGACGGCTAAGAGTTGCTATTGCAATGTCTTTGGGCTCTGCGATTTGACCTGTAGGGATCAGGGCAGTTGCGAGGGACGCTACACATTACCGCCTTACTCGGTGCTGCCCAAGGGATGGCCGTTGGTGGGCTGGGGTGGTAAGGAGAGGGAAAGAGCGGCTGAGGAAGATTAAGGTGATTTTGATACCCCCCCCCCCGTTATATGTTTACTCGGCTGCTTATGCTGTAAAGTGGGTTGGGGAATGGACTTGCTGGCGACCGAGAGAGGAAGAGGAGAGCTGGGCTGTGATGCTTGATCCCCACCTCACATCTTCGTGTATGGGTGGTGGGGGTTTTGTGTGGGCTTCCCTGACCCTGATGACGCAAATCGTTACGATATGTGCATTTATCACGCCCATGGTATTATGACCACGATATTTCCAAGTCACATGTTGCTACGATGCTGGTTTACAGTAAAGAGAAGGGGGGGAGCTATGTGTCTTTGGACGTTACAAGAGACATGAAACTGGCAATGGGATGGTTGCTCCTCCTCCTCCTCTCAAAGAAGAGGCTTTGTTCACGCCTTGTACATTATTTCCTGCCACAAAAGAGCAGTTCAAACACGAACGAAAGCCATATGCTACATTCTATTCATTGTAATTATTATACTCTTCTTCGAAAAACAAAGACAAGAAATCAAATCTGTATACACTGCAATAAATCTACATTAAAGTATCCGAACTCGAACTCGCATCACGAAATGCATCAACAAAGTGTCGCCTCGACTTTGACATTGCCTTTTCGCTACTGGACCTGCCTTCTTCGTGGCTCGGCGCCATCTCCACATCTGACATTCCTATTGCTTCATCAGGATCGTGCAATTCAACGTGGTGCTGCAGGTCAAGAGATGGCGTTGGCTTTGGGGGTTGCTGAGTGGTATCGCTGTGCCTATAGGCCCTGTAATCGATATTTCCGTCGCTTATAGGGCGATGCTCGATCTCGAGTCTGCTGTGGATATTCGATCTGCTTTCGCGAAGGGAGCGGCGTTTATCTGAGGTTTTGTAGGGTACGGTGTCGAGCATGGGTGGAGATGCTAAAGCAGTGGAAAGATTCTTTAGTTAGGTTTGAAGATTGATTTTTTGGGTCTGGGGAAGGGAAGGGGTAAATGAGTGTGGGCTTACTGGTTTGTTTCACGGCTTCGCCTTCGGTGAGATTGCGTGGGAAGCCGCTGATGGGGAAGCTGGTGCTGAATTTTGGTTGCTTGCGGTCGTCGATGAGGTGAAGGTCAATGGATAATAATGCTGGATCCGAGGCCACGGGTATGACGATTGCGCCCAGGTTGAATGATCGACTGTCTACCATATCCTCGAGGACCTTGCGGCTCAACTCAATGTCCTGAGTGTGCTCGACGTTGCCCACTTCGGAGATGCGGAAGAAGGGTTGGAACTTGTAGCGTTGAAATTTGAAGCGAATGTGTTCCCCAAGGAAGCGCAGATCGTCGGATCCATCAGCGAATCTGCACGCTATAGTACCTTTGATGTTTTTAGTTGTATTCATCTGATGGAGATACTGTGAGTGCATACCTTGGATGGTGAGCACACCTCTGATCTCTCTGGGTCGCCCAATCTTTTCGAAATAGAACGAGCTGCCAATGAGCCGGCCAGCGATCGTTTGTATCATAACCTGTGACTCGGGCGTGCGAAGTGTATCAGCAACCTCCCTCTGCAAGTCGTTGACTTTCTGCGTGTCGTCCATCTTGGGCACTGGGCTCCTGACATTAGGGTTCAAGCGTATATATCTCTCTGCCGCAATAGGCGAAGACAGGCCCACAACATCGGTGCGGAAATCTCTCCATATATTTTCAGAGTTGAGGATATCCTCGACGCGCTGCTTGGCGAATTTGAACCAAGAATCTACTTGTGGGAAGACCTTTGATATCTTGGATCGCTTCTTCGTTAGTTCGAGCGCTTTTCGAACTTGCATGCGTCTGCGATCAGATCCGGCAATTGAGGAACCCTCCACACCCGACTCATGATATCCAGTCCCAACAGACAATAAGATATCTGGATAGCGCTCTTCTACATCCGGCCAGAGGAACTTGGTTTCGCTGTTGGCTATTCGTACTGGATTGTTGTGCTTGACAGCACCGTCAATATAACTCTCCTTGGTTCTGCCATTGACGAAGGGCTTGAAGAAGAATGGTGCAGCAGATGTGGCTCTTGCACTAGGCCAATGTCAGCTGTAAGCCTCAGGGCTCTTACGCCGATACACTTACGCTTCTCTGACTTTGAGGTCGTTGTTAGGGTCATCTGGGCGAACTGGGCGGTAGCCAACTGTCGAAAGTATAAGCTCTGGTCAGGTCAAGCGAAAGGCGACTTACTTCCAGATTTACTCGCACGATTATAATTCGTGAAGATCACAACCTCCTCACCCGTCTCAGTGGCAGCTGTTACAGCAACTTTCCGTGTAGAGCCACTCATATCCTCTGGCACTCCTCCGAACATGGCTTCGTCCCCGAAAGCTTGGTGTAAAGCCTTCTCAAGCGGCTTGGTACGGTATTTGCTCCTCATCAATTGGAGACCACCAGGATACCTGGAAGTAAACGCAGTTCTCACCAAGCTCAGGAACGTCTGCGTAGACTGTTCGATGGACCAATTTTTGACTCCAAGGCCAAGTGCAAGCAATCCGCCGGTACTAAGAATGGTCAACTCTCGCTTGCTCATGTGCCCAAATTCCTTCGGGAACTAATGGTAGACTCTACAGCGACTCACCTGGTGCCCACTATAAGATCAAAAAAGTCCTGGATAGGAATGCGCCCTCCTAGTTCTTTCTGGATCTCCCCAAGAACACTTAGAATGACAATGCCTCTCATACCGCCACTGCCTTTGTTAGTATCATTTTCTGGTGAATGCGGTTTACTTACCCATCAAGTGATAGCACCCGCACACCAGCGAGCGGAGGCTTAAAGTGCACCGGCCAATGAGCAGAGAAGACGGTTTCGTAGTCATGGAGAGGACAAGAAGCCATTGAATATGAGTGTTTAAGCTCATTATGGGGGTTTCCGTAACTTTTGATACAGGGTGTACAGAGCACATGTCCGCAACGTAGAGGATGCTCGGCCAGTTCTCGAAGGCAGCAGTAGCAAGTCAAGTGACTGACAAACTTCTGGGCGCCACCCAGACGCTTGTAGAATGCCGTGATGTTGGCGTGGTGGAGTCTTGTGGTAATATCCACCTCACTCGCAGATGGGGTTTGCATGAGCTGGGAACTGAGCTCAACTTGAAATTTTGCAAGGTGGCTCTCCAAAAGCCGAGACCAGTCTTTGGCGAAGCCAGTAAACGTAAAGTTGGACTCATACGGACCAGTGCCAATGATGATACCCTTTCTATTCTGATGTCCCTTGTTATGAGTCTCCTTCACATTCACACAGCGGCCGCGGTGCATATAGTTGAATGTGCATGGCCAGTAGAGCGCACAAAAGTCTTCCAGTGCTGTATCACAGTGGGAGAGGTATTGCTTTTCGAGAATTTGGTTTGCCGGGCCTGGAAATCTCACGTGTTAATGAATTGTGAATTTGGGATTTGGGGTAAAAGAGTGTAAAGAGTGACTTGAGTGGGGTTGCGCTACGTACCTTTAAAGTTCTGTCGAACACAGTCCAACCCAATACAAGAAGCTACCATAAAGCTCAATTCCTCGAAAATCTTTCTGGGATCATCGTACCGAGCCTTCATAGCAACAGCCAGCTTGAGAATATTACCTCCAAAATCCAAAGGAATGGGATTGATTTTGAACGAGGCGTCCATGAAGTCGAATGGTTTGTTCAAATCATTTGAAAAATGTTCGAATGCGGAATGCAGGTATACGTTCAAAGCGTCGGAGTTGAAAAGCATGCGAGACCTACGCTTCGTATTGAATGACTCTCTGCACCGCCTAGACAGCGTATCGTGAAGTTTTTGGATCTGTTCGTCGATCATCATATAACGGCCATCTCCAGGTATCCTTATAACGGTGATCGAGGAATAGTAGCATAGAAGAAGATCTTTCACGGTGTGAATGTTTCTACCCTTCCCACCCCAATATTCTTTTAGCTCTTTAAAAGCTGGGTCTCGATCGACTGCACCAGCGACATCAGCTAGAAGAGATTCCGTTGCATATTCAGGGTCCCAAGCGCTCTGATCGACTTTGGTACTTGTCGCGTTGAGAGCAATGATGGCGTGAGGCAGGATAGGTTGGTTGACTGACTTTTCAATGGACGATCTAGCCCATTTGATCAACAGTGTGAGCACAGTAGACTCAAATGTCCTGCAATATTGAGTCAGATTTAGAAAAGATAGTTGGAGCAGGCCGACAATGATTAAAAGAAAAATATAGGCAAATAGTAAACACAACGGAGCATTAAGGTATAGACTTTTAGAACTTACTTTGCATTTCGCAAGACGAACACGATCACATCCGAAAATGTGTATAGCAAACGTGGATAAAACTCTGTGACCGCGTACTGACGTTTTGTCTTTTCTGGCGAGTTCGCCCATTTGATTTCTCGACGTGTGCGATTCAATCCTCTGGTAATCTGTTGTAGTTTGGGATGCTCTCGGCGCATCTCTCTCCCTTTCCCCCTCTCTTCAGAAGTATGTGACGCCTTCTCGCGATACTGAGCGCTTATTGGAGTGTTTTCGCCGCCTTCCAAACCTTCGCAGTCTGCGAAAAGCATGGGATGTTCTGATAGATATGTGGTTGGATCACTGTAAAGGTGAACATCACATGACGTTGGTATGTTGCTGTTCGTCATTGACCCAACTACTGGTGACGGGAACGCCCATTCGCGCGAGCCGTGTATCCTCTCTTGTTGATCTATGAGCATTTTGATGAGAGTACTCTTTCCAGCACCTGTTTGTCCAATAAAAGAGACGATCTGGGGATATCGGAACTGGTACTCATCAGTATTGCTGTCGGCCATGATAGCAGCGTAGCGTCCACGGTCATCCAAAATGGATTTGTTGTGATTGTCACGCGCCAGCCCAAACCATGTCGTATCTTCATCCTCGACATGCAGAATTTGCTGTTCATGGTAATCTTGGGGTGGGGCGAGGATGTCCTTTAGTCTTTGGACGATTGTTGGATTGGCCTTCTCATGGGGTAGGCCATCGGGACCCTTCCGACCCAATTTGTGTGGACCCTGCTTCCCCCAACAGTCATCGCAAAAGTTCATGTCGCAGTAAGAACAATTCCAGATAGGCTGTATATGTACACTACAAGTATCACAGACTGTAGATGAAGGCTCGTCGTCGTCTGATGCCTCTTGATAGGTAGGTACCTGTTCCCTGAAGACGTTTAGCCCACGAGAAGTGCCGGTAGAGACTGAGCTAGGATCTTGGCTAGATGGCCTAAAGATATTGGCTTTGGAGGTATGGCTAACGGGTATCTCATCTCCGTGCGGAGAGAGACGAGCCATATTCGGTCCCTCTAGGATCCATTTCTGGTTCGAGGTGGACATCTAGGTAGTGGTGCAAAGAGTAGTAGTCCGAGATTTTTGCAAGTGGATAGACCATAAAAAACTTGCTAGAAAGTTTTGGCTTCGGTCGGTACTTAGTAGTGAGGATCAGGCTGAGCTGCAGCCTGAGGGCTGAACCTCAGCCTTGCAGCTGACCGCATGTGGTGGCAAACAGATTCTGAGGTCCTCAAACATGGGATACAGACTGGCCAAGGCATTAGAATTAAACCAGTTGATCATTGTATGTGTCTGTAAGCTACTACTTGTGGTGGCTGTGTGCAGCCACTATGGGTAAAGTTCGATAAGAGAAATGCGCATCTTAGCTACAACAGGAGACTTACGACCGAAGTTTTTGTGAGGAAGCCACCGCCCCAAACGAAAAATAAGCCGTTGATCATGGGACCAAACGATATTTTGCAAGACATTGCGCCTTGAGCGGCTGGCTTCTTCCTACAAAGGGCGATAAAACTGCAGTTTCCTACGGCTGTATGCAGCCACCAAGTGTTAGCCCTGACAAGGAAAGGGTATCTCTCAGCTATAATGAAAAAAAATCAAGACTTACCGCGGTTCAGGTCCCTTCAAGGAAGGATGGCTTTACATAAGGATTGGTAGGTGATGATGAGAAGACTGAGCAAATGGACCAGAAGTAAACATATAGAAGGACTACGGGACTTAATCTTGCATAATACACTTGTATGTGAGCTTAAAAGGCACCGGTCCCAGTCACCAACCTAGAGCTCTAGGGTTGATAAGAGAATCAGATTGGAAGTTTGCCATGGGCACTAAGAGAGAAGCGAGCGAAATGGTAAGAAAAAGCACGCTGGGCTCTGATTCTAAGCTCTGATGCTGATGGTAGGTACTCGTTGTTTCGTTTTGTGTGCGTAAAATGTCTAGCAACTTGAGGTGCAGTGCATGTGAATATGCTGCAACGCGATAGTGTTGGGTGTTCTTGAAATGACTTGTCAGCCTTTTTGTCCGTATCCTCTGCACACATGGCAGCTCAAGCACTGCTTTTCCGTTGTCAGCATGATTTTCCACCTCTTAGTTGGTCGCTATCCAACTAGCACTTTCCAGTAGACACGTCTCTTGAAGATTTATCGGTCTCGTTACGTGTGGTTGCTCGAATCTGGTACCATTTCTTAGGTTCCCTAAGAAAAGGTTATGTTCACTCAGTATACACTTCTAAAAACCAGTTGATACAGTTGGCTCCAGGTTGTTAGATGCAACACACATCATTGGCATTAAGCCAAAGGCCAAGATCAACGCTCGCAAGATGCATAGCGCTGTATCGAGTGGGAACGTAGCATCCATTATTGGAACGGCTATGTTCAGCCTGACGAAGAATCATCTCTCCAAGACTAGCACTTCGTAAGTGACTGCAACCCACAGCCCGTCATGAGGCTGAATGTTATGATCGAATAGCGCATTCAAATTGATGCTTAGTAACATATTGCTGAGAATGAGTGCGTTACCAACTACACCCGTAGGTCTGCCACCTATATTGCCGTCGTTTTTCCGAACGGTCATGTTAGCATTTTATATACACACTTCGTCATGTCCGATCTGGTGCCTCTTTTGACTCTGCATTACCTTTCTTGCTTCTGGTATTTGGCATCTATACGTAGATCCGCCAACGCTAAAGACGTGAGCTCGAGTTGACTGTTTCAGTAAATCGACTCATCGGAGTAGCAGCCGTTGCCCTGCTATCCCGTGACACTGGATATAGCTGTTACGCTGCTGTTTTAGCTGCAGCGGCTGCAATGCGCCTTGTCCGCGACGTATTAGAATCATTGAAAGGTTGGCCAAGAGACGCTACTGCTGCACGACCTTAGCGATTTTCACGGCCGTTTCTCGCATCAGATGTATCATGTGCATACGAGATCCTGATAGTGGGATCAGGCTGAAGACTACCATCTAATGAGCCGAAGTCGGCGGGACAAGGCTGAACAGGTCGTAACGTGCCCATACTTCCGGACTCAAGACGCAGCTGGCCAGAAGTAACACATTAATGAAAATTATAAGTAGAGAGGGTGATACCGATGTTGGTAGTACCGCGTACGTTTGACAAGAATCATGGTTGCTTGTGTTGTACATAAGTGCGGGGGTTGAAGCATGCTACAGCAACAAGAAACTTGGCCCAAAGCAGCTAGCCTGGTGTATGCTAGAGGCATGCGGCTCTGAGCCTGTGCCTCACGAGCAATTTGGATCTGTTGTGCGATGTACGAACAGACGAGAAAACACCTGACATACGGCGCCTCGCTGAGCCTGACCGGTATGTGATCTGAACTTGGTTCTGGTCTTCATTGCACAGAGCCTCATTTTAATACTCAGTCGTCTGTTGACTGGCCAAACATGGTCAGCCTGGTCGACCTAACTAAAGTGGGGCTTGTACCACTGATTGGATGCCTTCTTCTGTACTACTGGGTACGGCCTTGTGCGACGGCATCTTCCTTTTTTGCGGCTCTGCTCCTTCAGACATGAAATGGTGCGTGTGCGGCTCCTCTGGTGTAAAGAATTGACCAGCTGCTCGCTACTCAACTAAAACGACCTATCGGTTTATACATTTCTCTCCAGTACAAAATCTCACGAAATTGAGCTCTACGTTTGGCCCATTATATAAAAAATCTCTATTCCAATTACTGGCTTCTCTTGGTCGCTTTTTACTACACATTTCTCGCGCGGTCTATGCATCCCACCTTGGACCAACTCCCTTTTGACATTCTATTCTGCGTGGCTGCTAACCTGAGTCTTGAAGACATTGTTCATCTCAGTCAGACATGCCAGCAGCTGAGTGCCTTGATGGACGAAAGGACAGTTTGCAGAAGCATAATCGAAGTAAGCACTGCAGTGGGAAACGTCAGTGCTTACGATCAAAGCTGACGCTGCCGACAGGTGGACTTTCCTTATACGGAAGAAGCAAAACTAGCACGGACAGAAAAAATTACTTACAAGCAAGCCGTGAGAGCAATCTATGACAGAAGGAATGCTTTGTCTACTGCATACCCATTCTCAGCACGTACTTGGGGCAATGGAAACGCATTTGTTTATGGACAGGGAATCCTATGCGTACTTGAAAGCAAGACTGTACATCTCTCGGATCTACGCTCACAGTCGCATGATATTCATATCGATCTCACTGTATTTGCTGGACCGATTCTAGGGCCGCCTTTTCCAGTGCCTGGGAATTTTGACGTGGACCTACTCAACTATGCTGACAGAATCCTTGCTGTTCACCTCAAGAAAGAGGGTGAATCCGATGGTGGTTATATAATTGCTCTCAATATGGCGCGCAATTGTCCTGATGATAAAAGACTGGTCCAAATGGTACGGCTTCCTTCAAGCTCTAAACTTTTCGTTAGACACACCGCCGATTTCCTCTACTATGGTACGCATACAGGGAGAGGTAGCGATGGCCACCATAAATGGGAAATTGGCGGCGTACGTTTGAACAATAGCATTAAAATACAGGATGGCGCAAAGCGGTTAGTGCTGGACAACTTCCATGGATCGGACATTGGCTCTACAGTCGCGTTCGAGATACACAATGGTCACTTCTACGCAGTCTCCAATCAAACCACCTTTGAGGTTGAAGAGATTGACTATACCTCTTTCTACCATGTTGCTCGCTTCCCACTCCATTCGCCGTTGCCGGCCAGTGTCGAGAGGGACGAACGGCTGTATCGTCGCCAGCATAAACAAGGGCCTATTCACGACTCTTGGACCGATCTTACACTACAGAGCGATGAGAGTACAAACGAAATGGTGATTGTTGAGTCGAGGAGAGAATGGGCAGAAGCGTCCTCGCGACAATCACGTACATTTTACGTGACCCGTCTGGAGTTTGGAAGCGAAAATGACACAATGGACATTTCAGATGAACTACTACTACCCGAAGACGATATATATCTTCCGGTCATAGACTCATCCAACAGACCTCAATGGAAGCCTACGCCGGATCTCTTCAGCTGGAGTCAACATCCAGAATTTTGCGGCACTGACCCTGCGCCGCGCTCCTTTATGCTCGCCAGAACAAAATTTAGAGCTTACAGCTATGCATGTACTACGTTTATGGATCTAGTCGAAGATCAAGAATGCTGCAATGATGCCTCGAAGCCGCCATGTCTGAGGCTGCGAATAGGATCACGGCGCGAAACAGGTCTCGACGATAATGCGACAGTCAACCGCAAGGGAAAGGCTGCGGCTGTTTATAGCACGAAACCAAATTTTGTGGATAATCAAACGCACTATCGACAATCACCTATTCGCATGTGGCCGCCTCGAGCATCGCGTTGTCCTTGCTCGCAACACCTGCACAACATACTTAATCCAGCAATTCCCTCGAGTGGTGCGTCATACACGAGGAGCGTGACGGGTGTGCTTGACGAGCAACGTCTGGTATTTATGATCAAGTCGGGGCGGTCATATGGGCCGAGCGACAATAATACCTTGGGTACGGTAGTCATTGTAGATTTTGCTCGCCCGACCAAGAGCAGCAACAGCGCAAACTCAGCACCCATGGCAAGGAGTGATAGTAAAATGGAGGAAACTCTCAGCCTTGGATGGGAATGGCAGCCAGGGCTCGAACAGATGTGCAAGGATAGAACGTGTTGCAAAACGAGCCATGGTGGGCTGGGTGGTACTGCGAACGGGAGGGGCGCCAGATTGAAGGGTTTTTGAGGCTCAATGGTATGCCAACTGCGAACATTCCCGTTCCTAAGGGTGCACTTTTGCCTTGTAGGATTTGCTGCAAGGCGTGCATGCATATGCGTATACATGCGCGTGGCAAGTCGGGCGCGGCTGAAGGCACAGCAAGGCTACTGGACCGTCCATAGCCCCCAGCCCGCCGTGCTCTGCTTCATCTAACCAGGCAAGTTCATTGGGTCTCTGAATCGCGATGTCAACATCTTACATACTCCTTAATAAAACAAAAGCAGTGAAGTAGCAATGCCATGAAGGACTCGTATGGCGTTACCTAGCAACATGCAGGGCCCTGTTTGACGTGTTTGCAATGGTGGTAGTACTACTCACTATCTACCTCGCCCTATGACGCAAGCCCAGCCGCGTCACCATGAATGCATCGACGTATTGATGGCTAGTGGCCAAAACCAAGGTACAGGTACACACCTCGACGGAGCCACAGCTAGGCGCCCACGATAGATTGATCAATGGCGGTTCGCGTGCTCGTGCGACACACGGGCAGTCGTGGTCAATGTTGGAACTGGGACAAACGCCGTCACCTACGTCACTGCCCGCCCGCCCTGATAATACACAAAGCACGGCCTCGTCCATTTCACAACAAACCCTCCAGACTCTTTGCTTTTACCTCCCGCATACACAACCTTGCTCTTAAAAAATTCAACTAGCACTAGCTGCAGCTACAATGGAGACCATCACCAACCTTGCTACTACTGCTACTACAGCAGCTTCCAAGCTCATCTACGGCGATCAGACGCACAACAACGAAACTGCTGGCAAGGAGCCAATCTCGGGCGAGAAAGGCGCTGGAACTGCAACTGACCCCTACGACAAGGGCAATGCTGGTGAGCTGCACGAGTCTCCCTTCTTACCGTATGTCACGTGCTGAACCTGCCTTTTAGCAACCCCTCTAGCTACAGCCGACAAGACCGACTATGTCGATTCATCTAACAACGAGACGGCCGGAAAGGAGCCTGTATCTGGAGCATTGGGCAATGGCACTGTTAGCGAGCCGTTTGACCAGGGCAACGATAGTGAGTCCACGACTTTATGAGACTCCATATCTGTCGTTTTATGCGGTGCTGACTTCCCAAAGCCAAGGCGACTGAGACCGCGGCAGAGAAGACGTCTAGTTCGGATGCTTTCTTGAAGTTGGACCCCGTTCACCAAATCCAGGCTGAGACAACCACTTCTGCCCCTACCGTCGACTCTGCTAGCAAGAACGACACTTCCAACGTCGGCATGCCCATTACCTCCCTTGCTCCTGACACTGCTGTATTGAGCAACAATCCCACATCAAGCGCAACAGAGACCACTGGCGTCACGGACAAGGTTTGGAAGGACACCCCACTAGATGACATCAGCCGCTCAGGTGCTCCGGGAGCTGGCCCTACAGCGCCCAGCAATGTCACTCCTGCGACTCCCGGCCTTGAGGCGAACACCTCTGCCACCACCTCTTCTGATGCCGCTATCAAGACTTCAGCCCCCGACTCAGTGACGGCTTCGTCCGGTCTTTACTCTGGCTCCGAGCCTCAGCGTCCAGAAACCGATGCTGGCCTCAACAAAACCGAAGCAGAGAAGGAAGCCGAGAAGCGTGATACTCCGGCATGGACAAACACGGGCGTGATTTCGGATAGCAGCAAGTACGAAGAGGACGTTGCCAAACAAAACGCTGCTTCTCCAAAGGAGTCCAAGAGTACGTTAACACAAAAGGCCGTGCATATTCTGAAAGGCGCTGACGGTATGGCAGGCGTGGCAGAGACGGACACTGGTCGCAAGTTGTCGTCTGATAGCCACGAGGAGAAGGGCGGCAAGATGTCGCACTTGAAGGAGAAGATGAAGAACAAGCTTCACATTGGCTCCAAGGACAAATAGGCTTAGATGCTTCCGCTGCTCTACACTGTGAGGTGCTGGTAAAAGTAGCATCTGTTTGATGAAGGACGAGATTTGATACCACGGCAATAACAGCCATACTTACGACGACGATTCTTGCAATGACCTTTCTTTAGATAGCAATCTAATGGATTAAGCTAAACTGAGCTTCCTTGCGTGTATGGTCCAATCAATGCCATTGTCTAGCCTCGTGCCACCAACTAAAGCTAGCGGGCCGCCGGCAATATGACCAGCATGACTACATTCAACACTCCGCCTCATCACACGCCTCACTTGCCACTTGGGCACACCACATTGGCGCTGTATTGATAGCACGGACTGGACTGGACTGGACTGGGCTTCTATCACGCGGCTGTCTATCGTTGTGGTCCAACCCCACCTTCCCTTCCGAGCCCTGCATTTTCCGAGTAAGCCAACGGCCATGCGCCTAGTGTAGTGATCAGCCAAGAACTGCACTGTACCTTTTTCCAACCCCAATCCAATCTTCAAGGAGTACTCTCGAATTAGTCTCTCTCTCTGTCTCTCTTGCCTTTTTACCTTGATACAGCACACAACGTCAACATGGGCAATATCGGCAATGAGAACGCAGTCAGGCATGCTGACAGAACACATGATAGGACAACACCCGAGGGTGAGACACGTATATCGAGGGATTTATCTAGCTCCCCACATTTACAAAGCTACATGGATGAACCAAACATGATTCGGAAAGCGGCGGGAAAGATTCCACATATTGGCATTGTCGGCGCTGGTGTTGCTGGGTTGAGATGTGCGGATATCTTGTTGAAGCAAGGTGTCAAAGTGACTATACTCGAGGGAAGAAATAGAGTTGGTGGACGGGTGAGTAGTTTTTGAAATCTTTTGGGAGAGTTTGTGTGTTGAACAGTCTACAGTTATGTCAAAGCAATGCGCTAGGTCACTTGGTCGATCTGTAGGTCTTATACACTCTTGATAACTCGCTTTGAACGAGAAAGTACGTACTAACAAGTTGAAAAGCGGCCCAAATTGGATACATGGAACAGACGACAATCCCATTCTTGATCTTGCCAAGGAAACAAAAACTGTGGCTATGAACTGGGATGGTCGACAGTCGGTTTTTGACAGTTTAGGAAAACACATGCCCGACAAAGAAGCAGCAGAAAATAGTGAGCATGTCTGGGGAATCATCGAGCAAGCAATGAAGTTTTCGAATCAAGAGTCTGCAACAATACCAGCCGAAATGAGTTTGTACGATTACTTCCAGGAGCAGGTGGTAAAAATGTTCCCAGGCAACGATGAAAAATCAAAGAAGAAGCAAAGAGATATACTCGAGATGGCCGAGATGTGGGGTGCATTTGTCGGCTCGCCAATCCAAACGCAAAGTCTCAAGTTCTTCTGGCTAGAAGAATGCATCGACGGCGAAAACCTCTTTGTAGCATCGACATACGCCAAAGTCCTAGACAAGATTGCCGAACCTGCACTCAAAGGCGCGACCATGCTCTTCGAGCACAAAGTCAAATCGATTCTCTCCCAAGAAACCAACGGCGAGACAGCAGTCACACTCGAGCTCGAAGACAAAAAAAGCCTAACCTTCGACCAAGTAGTCATAACCACCCCCCTCGGCTGGCTAAAAAGAAACAAAACAGCCTTCACTCCCCCCTTACCACCCCGCTTCAACCTCGCAATCCAAAACCTCGGATATGGCCATCTAGACAAAGTCTACATCACCTTCCCCACCGCCTTCTGGAACACTTCCTCTCCCACCACCACCACCACCACCACTTCATCCCCCAGCCCAATCCCCTCCTCAGACTCCCCCATAAACCCCACCCACTACCCCGGCTTCACCCACTGGCTCAACCCAACCTACACCCCCACCACAAACCCCTCATCCTGGAACCAAGAAGCCGTCAACCTCGCCGCCCTCCCCTCAGACACCGCTCATCCAACCCTCCTCTTCTACACCCACGGTCCAACAAGCAAACACATAGCCAACCTCCTCGCCTCGATTCCCGAGGAAAAACACAAAGATATCCTCATCGACTTTTTCGCCCCGTATTACTCGTTACTACCAAACTACAAAAAAGATGATGAAGAGTGTAAGCCGAAAGCCGTGCTAGCGACGGCGTGGGCAAACGACGAACTAGCGGGATGGGGCTCGTATTGCAATTTCCAGATTGGATTGCAGGCGGGAGATGAGGATGTTGAGGTGTTGAGGCGCGGGATGCCGGAGCGCGGGGTGTGGGTTGCGGGGGAGCATTGTGCGCCGTTTGTGGCGTTGGGTACGGTGACGGGGGCGTATTGGAGTGGGGAGGGGGTTGCGAGGAGGGTGAGTGAGGTGTTGGGATTAGGTGGGACGAGTAAGTAAGTGGACTGGGGCAAGTTATTCACATGTAGGTTTTGTTGGTGTTGGATAGAGTATTGAAAAAAGAAGAAGAAGAAGAAGAAGAAGAAGAAGAAGAAGAAGAAGAAGAAGAAGATGGGGATTTTAGCAAAGGATGAATTTACAAAGACACAAAACAAATTCAATTCACTGGCTTCCTCATCCCGTTGCGCCATACAAGAAAGTCATAACACTTTGTCCTAATCAGCGCATTTCTTTCTTCGTCTATTGGTATCTTCGCTTCATTTCCCAAGACGAGCCGCAGTAATCCTTGTTTAGTTCTTGTGCTCCAGCTGCGTACTCGGTAGTATCGTCGCCCCACCAGCGGGCAATCTAGTCGTCGCATCGTCGCATCCTTTGCTCATCGAGTGCCAGTGACGTCCAATGTAAACCTGACAGCTGGCCATGGACGGCGTTGCTCTACTCGTCTTCCATGCCTTCAAGCAGAGTGTGTTCGAGCACGTCGCTCAACGTGACGACGCCCTTGAGTTTGCTGTTCTCGTCAATGACCACGAAGCGGTGCACGCGTGACCTGCGGATTGTGTCGTAGATTGTTGACATGTTGTCGTTCAGCGAGCAGGTGAATATGCCAGGGAAATCCTGCAAATATTAGCATACCACTTCTTTCGAGCAAGTCTAGCAAGCTACTTACATCTGAACGCTTCAACAAAGCATCGCCGACCGTTAGGTTCAGGTCGTCGTATACACCGCCCTTGATGAGCGCTATCACATCGACGGCTTCAAACACATTGAGCACAGTTCCTACCATTGTCAGCTATATCTTCCTGGAACCACTTCAACTCCTTACCTTGTTTGTCCAAGATAGGAACGCTCGATATGCTTTTCTTGACAAGCATGTGTATGACGTCCATGACAGGGGTATCCATGGATGCGGTTGCGAGATCGGTATACGTGCCAACGTTCAGCTCCCTGAGCGGCTTGCGTAGCTTCTGCGTCTCCTTGACGTTCACCGCGATAAATTTCAATATGCGGTATTGTGTAATGACACTAACGACCATGGTCCTATGTGTCTCGTCATCGCTGTCGACGATTGGTATACGCCGGGCGCGCGACTCGAGCATCTTACGACATGCTTCGTATACGGGACGGTCGGGGTGAATAGAAATGGTTTCTATGGGCTTGACGCCGAGTGCCTTTTCGATGTCTGTCTTGCGTCAGTACACGCCTGGTGTACGTGGACCGAGCTTCCTTACCTCGCAAGCTGTTCAGGCGGAACTGATCTACTCGAGCCAGCGCATCTGGGTTCTGCCAGTAGTACTGGATGACGTTGATGTAGTCGGATGTTGTGAGAAGGCCGGCAAAAGTAGATGACTTGGAGTCCCACAGCGGCGCTGAGACGATGCCTATGGAGGGCTCTCAGCTGATATGTCTTGTATGCGATGTCTAACAAGCTCACCATTCTGGTTCAGGATATTCAGACTCTTCTTTACCAACAGGGCAGTATCGAACACGATGAGGCGGTAGCTGATAGGGAGCACGTCATAGCTCGTCCTCGCCTTGAGAAAAGCTCGAATGGTTCTCTGGCCTCGTGTCAGCCTGTCCCCATGACTCTTCACCACACAAGCGTTGCCATACCAGACCGTCCAGCTGCTCACGATCGATAGCCGAAAGCTGACGCGGTTGCTCTTTAGAGGGCAAGGGGGCGCGGGATTGCTGGAGTAAATCTCGCGGTGTCACAAAAGCCGGTCGCGCATCGCTGCCGAGGGCGTTGGTCGCTGAGTCCGCCGCGTCGTGGCCAGACATGGTTTATTGCGATGCTCCTCGGAGCCGCATGGGGCGTGTAACCCCAGTGATGTTTGGTTCGGGGGGAAGGATACAGTGGGCACTACGCTTATAAAGCCCGAGACTTTTGAAATGCCGTGGAAGATGGCGGAGGTAGACGCCCCACGATGCACGATCGTCACTAGCGTATCGTGCTCCTCCAAAGTCTATGCGCAAACATGCGGGGCAAACCAACGTCTACGAGTGCCACGGCACGGGTTTCAGAACCTAAATACGCTGTCTCGACTTTTTGCTGGATTACAAATCTAAAGCACCCAGTCCAGATGTGGCGCACATTCTAGGAAATGCATACAGATCAAGCGCATAACATGCACAAGCATGCCTACAAACTATACATCACTTCCTCATCATTGATATGCGCCTCTCCACTCGCATATGAGACGCCTCCCCCACCCCTTGAACTATGAATTACATGCAGTGGACCCTTTCTCATCCTAACTATACGTCGTTTTTCCTCGCGGCTTTGGCGGCTTCGAGACTCAGCTCAGGACCAGGCTCAGCCTCGGTTTCCTCCATGATAATCTCTTTTGCCGCATGCTCGACCGATGTCTCTGGCTCGCCAATCGACTTCCTTGCCTGCGCTACAATTGAGTCTGCTTCAGTGATGCCGCCCTTCATAGCTGCCTGCTCCTGGTCTAAACTTGTCGTGGCCTCGTTCTTGCGCTGGCGGAGGGCTTTGTTGTCGAACCGCACAACCATACACGACAGGTTGTCGGTGGAGAAGCGGGCAAGAGCGTAATCGACGAGCTTCTTTGAGGCTTCTTGAGGGTCATGGATTTGACGTATAAGATCGACGGCTTCTTGGTCGGAACAGACGTCCCAGAGCTGTACCTGTTAGCGAATATAAATTATTCACATGAACATGACTTACACCGTCGCAGGCGAGGATAAGGAATTCATCTTGGTCGGCCTGGATAACTGTCTCCGTGGTGTAGGGATGTCCAGTGACTAGGTCCTTCATGTATGCATCGCCCAGTGCACGCGTGACAGCGAGGACGCCGTTGACGCGGTTGTTGAGGATCAAACCACCAGCGCTAGCAACGCGACGTCCTTCGTTCTCGTCACTACCCTTGTGGTCATATGAAAGGCGAAGGGCTCGGCCATTCCTGCAAAGAACAATGCGCGCGTCGCCCACGTTCGCCGTATACAATACGCGCTGCCGAGTAGCCTCACTTCGTAGTTTTGCTTCTACCTGTTCGGCTGCAGGCTCAGAGGTAACGGCGTCGGCACCGTCTTTGGCCTCGCCGCCCTCACCAGCTTGCTTGACAGCTGACACTGCCGCGGGTGCAAAGAGGACAGAACCGGTGGACGATTGTGCGTTGGGCACTCGATCCTCCCATCGCAAAACTGCAATCACAGCAGTGCAACCACTGTTCTTCAAAGGAAGCTTCTCAAGCTGCTGGTCGACTACGGTAAAGGTCTGGTCAAGAAGTTCGGGTATCGGCGTGTTGGGATTCTTTCGAATCGTCTCTTCCAGGATCAGGTGAAGCTTCTTCCCACACCAGTCGGCAGCAAAAGTACCGGCGTGGCCATCAAAGATGGCAAAGTAGCCATTATCGCTCTCAACCACGGCCTGCGATAGATCAGACTGGACCGAGCTCGCATCCGAGACAGCGCGGGGCTTGTCCAGGCCATACGAGGGGGCCGGAGTGCTGAGGAAGTTGTATAGGTATGCGTGTGTATCCTCCATAGTCCGTCTGCACTTCTTGTTCTTGTCCTCGGTGACACCGACGCGGAACGTGGAACGGGGGCCTGGTGCGGACTCGCCGGCAGAGTTGTTGAGCGAGCCCTGGGGCACGCTGAGAGCAGCGTCCGACTTGCCCAGCTTCTGCATTGGAGTTTGGGCAGCCGGCTTCTCCGACATGTGGGCGGTGTTGGCAGACGAGGTCGAGGTGGGGGAGGAGCCGCCAATGTGCAATGACTGCTTCGCGCTCGAGAACATATCGCGGGCACGCGACACGCCACTGCTCCGTCGTTTCCGCTCTGGTGGAGCAGCAGAGTCGCTGCCCTTGCGATCAGCAGTGGCACCATTGCTTGCGCCGTGTGTGCCAGAGGCGGCGTTGTCGGCCGTCGAGGCAGCCGCGGGCCTAGGCGCGTCGTTGTTTGCAGGGGCATCGATGGCGGCACCTTCGTCGTCTTTTGCATTCCCGAACATCTTCGAGAGCAAGCCGCCCTGGGCGCTCCGGCGCCTGTTGCCAGCCAGCTTGAGTGATTGCGACGGCGCTTGTTGACCGGGTGGCGGCGACGAGGATGGGTGCAGGTGGAGAAGGGGGTGGGCGGGGGGGTGTTAGGAGCTGAGATAAGCGAGGCTTGAGGAGCAGCAATAAGTTTTGAGCAAAAAGATGTCTCTGGACAAACGCAAGGGGGGTGGCGGTGTTGGGAGGAAGATGGGGCCTAGGTGTGATGACGTCGGGGGGCCACGGCGGGGTGTGCAAGTGTGCGAAGCGGCGAGTGCAAGTCGCAATTGGCGGAGAGGGGAAGGCTGGACGCTTGACGCTCGATGCCAGGGAAGATAACAACAGCAGGTGGGCAGGTTCCAAGGTTGCAGTTGGGGCAGTGTGGGCAGCAGGAATGGTCGTCTTGCGCAGCTCAGTATCATGTACGTACGTATGTAGTAAGCAGTGCGCGCCGGGCCTACCTCGACCTATCGACTAAGTATGTAATACCGCGGACGCATATAAATCCGTCTACTAAACACACCCACCCTCCCCTCCCATGCTCCCGTTCCCTGGCCACGTGCCAACCTTCTCGAATGCAGTCAGACCCCGCCCGCCTGCTGTGTGATGAAGTCGGCGAGCTCTTCGGCCAAAATACTCGTCTTGTGACTTGTCATTCTCCTGTGGCTGCCACGACGCCAGCCGGCCGAATAAAGACATCATCCGTTCCAGCATGATGGCTATCGGGCTACGATCAGCGAGATCTAGGCTCCATGCATGTACGCCGGCGCCCTGGGTGGAGTCCGCTGCGACACGCACTAAACTCCTTCTTGTCCGCGCTTACTCCATGTGGACTTGAGGACATTGCAGTCGTACGTCTATACCTGTCTCTTCACCACTTCACCGTCGATCCGTCAAACCAAATCCGACTCTCCGTCAAAAGCAAGCATGATAATTTGCTTTGCACGCCCCCCAGACATCTCACCTCGGTCGGACAAACCACGGCTATAAGCTGCAAACTCCTCCATGCCCATGGCGGCCTCTTCATTGTCATGACAAAACAACTGCGTCGATATCTTGTCCAAGGCATCGACTGTTATCCGCCCAGCAGCCCTCTGGATTTCAAGGCCCATGATAAGTCGCGCTTTGCGGATGAGACTGCGCTGTGAGCTACTCCAGGGCAAGGTACATGGCGCATCTGATGCCGAAATTTCGCCATATAATCTTAGAAGCTTGGTCTGGTACTCTGCATCCCCCTTTATGGCTCCATGAATCAGAGCCTGGATATCATCCTTTTCTTCTCATGTCAGATCAAATTTGATTGAATTTTCCTGACCGAGAGACGTGCCAAGCTTCAAGGACTCGTCATCATACACTGATTTGCGTCACAGAATTGTTATTTGTCTTCGTTTTTGACTCTCAAGGGAATAGCGGATATGGATTTCGGTGGGCATCATCGTTGTCATGTGTACAGCAGTGGCTGGAACAGCCTCTTCTAACACATCGTTACTTTCCGTGCTCCGGAGGCTACAGGTGTCGTCTTCATACGCTGCGATTATGGACATGTCATACGGCTCTGATGCATCCACATTTCCTACGGTCAAAGAAGAAGAGGACGACAATACATCTTTTGGCTCGTCTCTCAGCAGCTACGTTATCATCAGTACTCAATCATGATCGAATTATCTCATCAAAGCCACTTACGACGGCTGCCCTTTCTTCGCCAATACGCGATTCGGGTACCTCGTCTGAGGTATATTCAACTAGCCTCAAACACCTGCATCCCTCGCAGTGGTATCCGGCATCTACAAGGCCTAATCTCACAATCGCCTCGGGAACATGGCAAGTTTTGCAGCGTTTGTTGTAGAACTCGTGCATGCATAGTTTGACAGTGTTGTTGTCGATTTTAGGCCGAAATCTTGCCTTAATTGTAGACTTGAGACAGCAGTATAGGCCGTGTTTCTTTATCGACATGGCGATGGTGAGAGATCATGTTGGAGCAGACACCAGTGCCATCATATCTTCATAATTAAACATGAATGCCTTTTGGGTAACTTTCATTCGAACGGGTATCCTTTTGTCTACATTCTATTGTTTCCTTGTGTCCGAAAGGTCGATGCCTTTATTACAATCCTCCGCCTGTTTCGAGGTTGATCAAATCCCGTACAATGTCTTTGTCTTTATGATGCTCATCAATGCCTCTCTTTTTTACTCCAAATCCCGCAATGGGCCTTTTTTGCTCTTTCCTCGTTCCTAGTGGGGCATTTGTGTCGCCAAAATCATACTCTTCGCCCATGTTCGTCGCTTCCTCTTAGAAATCACATGACTCAGCAAGTAGTTGCGCCAGCTCCTCCAACGCCTCCTGATCCTCTGTCGTAAAACCATTGAGCTCCGCACAATCAATATCGATAATTGCCACCACCTGTTTTACTGTTTTAGCATCGATATACCTTGTCAATTCCCGGCCATAACACCGCTATGAGTACCAAATGAAAGCAAGTAAACAAACAAAGAGTCACATACCTTCCCATCCTTGACAATCGGAACAACGATCTCACTCCGGCTCGCCCCATCACACGCAATGTGTCCTGGGAACTTTTCCACATCATCTACCAACTGCGTCGTCGTTTCTTTCGCCGCCTTCCCGCAGACACCGCGCCCAAAGGCAATGACCTGACATGCTACCTGTCCTTGGAAAGGACCAAGCAGCAACTGGGATGGTTTTGACGGGTCTGTGAAGTAGAAGCCCGCCCAGTTGACGGCTGACGAAGGAGCCGGCAGGGAGTGGTAAGCATGCCAGAGGAGGGAGGCTGCGTTTGAGAAGTTGCTGTTGAAAGAAACACGTTAGACTTTTTTCTCTCTGTCCATCGAAACAGCTTGTTTAATCCCACAAAACGTAACGCAGTAACTCACCAGACCTAGATTTCATGTCAGCATGTTATTCAAAGATTAACAAAAACTACGACTCGGTTCGCCGTTCATAAACATCGCCTCGCAAACACGTACCCAATTCCTCTGACCATCAAACAACGCCCTCGCTTGCTCAAGAACCTGTCCATACACCTCCTTTTTGCTCATGCCATCGGCAAACGTAGATGAGTCGGCGTGCACCTAATATCACTCTTCCGTTAGCACACCCTCCAAGCCTCAACAACTTGGCAGAACCAAAAACATACCATAATGTCGTATATTCTAGTTGCAGAAGACGTTCCAGTCGTTCGTCACCATGCACACACAAATGGTTTTGTCCTGACTTGCGATCGCCGAGGCTTGCCGGGCGAAATGGAACCCACAATTCAGCACAAGGTAACCTAGGAATTCCCAGTCTCTTATTTTTGAAAAGAAAAATCACCACTGTGAATTATGTTGATTTCAAAGCAAATGTTTACTTCATTAGCGAGACGCGCCAAACTCAATTGATATCTCTTTTGGGGGACGACGACGTTTGCATGACTGGGTTGTTTCGTTTTTGGGCGAGATTAGATGTGGTCGCTGAACTGGGTTTAGACTACAAAACTTGCGATCGCGTCATCGTTTGGTTCATGCGAATCCCTACACTTGGGTTCCCACCTTTCTTGAAGTGCGAATATATGGTTAGTAGGCAAAGGGAAAATGACATGCCCTTGGCTGGAGATGGGGCATGGAAAACAATGCATGTGTGTTGAGTACACGACTGCAACGTCTTTTGTTCTTGCCTCAGCTTGTACACGTGCCGCCACCCAGTAGAATCTCACCCTGTCTTCCTATGCTTACATGTAGTTTTTCACGATTCTGCTCCTGCCTCGATGCTCTCAACCAAGTCCACGGCTAGGTTTCTCGAGTCAAGGACGTTTAGACCCTGTTTAGAAGCGCAAAGAATAGCCCAGCCCTCCCATCTGTACTGGAGGAAAAAATTAAGAAGCACGAGGCATAAAGCCTTTCCTTCCTTGAAGCACTGAATTGCTAGCTACAGCTGAACTCTAACTCTATGGCCAAATTTCATGTCATTACCTTGTAGAGTTATAGTACCAATGTATTCACAGTAAACAGTCTTCTTAGAGTAGTTGACGGTAGGTCCGAAGTCACTAACTCCCATCCTACGTTTACGATACCTGCCAACTAGGAGAAAACGTATACCTTCCCCGATCTTGATACGATCAGCTCGCTTTTTACGCCATGGATATAAAACTAGAAGGTTCTTCCCGGATGTCAAGGCATCGACTACTCGGAAGCGCACAGAATCGTGAGTCGCAACTGGGGTTGCTTTCATTTCTTCCGAGTCAAATACCCATGCCTCCCAGTCACCAGACACAGTACCCCTATTCTTATCAACGGTAAGCATGTTATGTTTCGATGTCCCCTGAGGCATGTCGAAGATGGAGAGCGGACACCAAGACCAATTTCCCGAGTAGGACATTGTAACGTTGCCATGTAGTAACGATGATGGCGAAATCTTTCCCGCCTTTTTGATGATAAACTGGGTGAATTTCTTCTTGTTCCAGGTCGGATCAAGCTCAGTTGCGGAGTTTTTCTCGCCTTCTATGGAATCCAAATCTGCAAGAAGGGCAGCAATATAGGACCGGTCTTTGAGCCAGCATGTATACCGCGGGTTCAAGATTGCCGAGATTTGGGAAACCGGGTCGTGAGATTTCCCTGGGTCACCCATCACTCGTTTGATAACATCGGAAACAGCCTTATAGGCTGGTTTGGCGTCAAGTCGTTCGCTTCCGGCGAAGATTTCTCGCAGGCTCTTAACAACCGGCCTGTTGTCTGTTGCGTTGCGGAAAACGACCTTGATAGTCTCTTCAGACTTTGCCGATGCAAGCTCCAGCGTCGTCCAGCCGCGAGTAAACCATGTGGACAGTGCGAGGGCAAGACAAGGCTTTTCATCATCGCTCCACGGAAAAGCTGACAATTCTAGGTCGTGAACAAGTACGATTTTCGCATCGTAGTAATTCTTGTGCATCCATCTTAGGGCCTCTTTTTTCTTATCCCCGCGAGGAAGACAGACTGCGTCCCACCAGATGGCCTTGCAATTTTGCTCCATTGCCCATTCCTGAAATTGGCTATACAAGCATGTGTTAACCTTTCCCGAATGCTCACCCCGACCAGTTCCGTCGAGCCACACATGGGAAATGGCCATAAAGGGAAGGGGGTTGCCGGGGGATTGTCCATCATTTGATAAATCACGCTGGTTGTCTGGTAATATCCAAAGGCACCGATCGCCTACATCTTCTACCTTGCAGAGTATCGGATCACAAGAACCATTACAACGCCGATGGAGCTGCCGCTTTTCAGTTGAGTTTTCGCCACCAAGTAGACAGGCCTGAGCGGTGCAATCCTGGTGTTTTTGGTTGAGGAAGGATGGTAACGCGTCAATAATAAAAGGGAGGGTGACGATGCCGTGAGTAGTAGCCGTGGCCAGACTCCATAGCCGGTATTGGCAAAAGCCAATTGTTGAAACCCTTTGGATTGCTGTTTTGATCTGTTCCACTCCAAGTACGTTTTGTTTGTAGGCAGCTTGAATGGTTTTAGGAGGCATTTGGCTCCGCGACATTTCGCTCCACGGCACTCCCCGAGAAGTTCGTTGCTTATCCCTTAGTTCGGCCATCCAATAGATCAACCAGTAAATACCGAATACATCGATATCGCTATTCCAGTTTGACGCTTCGTCGGTCTCTAGGATGAGATCGATGCATTTACTCCAGGCATTCTCTAATTTGTTGTTCAGGTTAATCCCCCCGCACTGTTTGCATGGTTTATGCAACACACATGACACGACTTTCAACGCCCATGTCCGAAATCCTCCACCCTTGAATTCGCATGGTGGAGCTGTTTTATTCAAGCGATTTTTCATTTCATTGCACGCTCGATTACTACATCTCTCAACTTTGTAGGAATTCATCAAGTCTAAAAGTATTTCATCGATCGTCGGATTCTGGATAAGCTTATCGTGTAATCTCCGAGAATCTTTGCCGAGATTGTTCAAGCACTTGCTATGATAAGTCGTTAATTCAGTGATGCAAATTGAGCATGGAGAAAACGAACCATTCGGCCATTTTGAGCTTTTCTTTGCTAAGGTTGGATTCAATGAATGCGTGTCGCAACTGGTCTCTTGGAAGGTATGAGGGGACACTAGTAATCATCTAAGGTTTATAAAGCTAGTGGCTGGGGAGGGGCTTCCTTCGCCTAAATCCAGCGTGACAGGACTGTCCGCTGGAACCGGCATTATCGCTTAATAGAAATGAATAATTGGCTATACTGTAGCCATGAAGGTTTCTCGTGGATGGTGTACTGAACCGACGATTGGCTAAATGAATTTGATGATAAGTAGCAGTGTTACATTACATAGTTACTATCTAGTATGGTGCGGGGTATCCGCACCCCTAGCTCGTTGCGCTGACGCTTACTATGGTCGCTAGGGTAAATTTCCAGCTAAGCCGCTACAAGTACGTACATCGCCCTTCCATGAGCAGGCTGTTAGCGTGCCTCAGTGCGTTTCCATACAAATCGGCCTCTTTCCGTACGAGTTTTGTCAGTTCGAGGCAAAGCTTATCTCGCTAGAGCACGCAATCCAATCGGGATGTCTTCGGTATGGCATTCCTTCACGGCAGGTCCGCCTTCTCTAAGCTGGCTTCAAACCCGCGACATCATTGTGGCAGATTATCTAAAGGCCCAGTGGCATAATTCGAGTGATATTCTCTCCGTCCTTTTGATTTTTGGTCCCGATATTGTGCAGAGAGCCGTCGCCCAACTAGCCGGGCGCATTGTAACACCCGTTGCTTTCTCGTTCGGTTGGGTGGCTTATGCTGCAAGCGCCCTTCTATCTACTTTTCGAGGTCATTCCTTGTCTATAGTAACTCACCCTCCGCCTGAAAACATGCATTCTGATCCTCACTAGATGGGTGGCTCATGCCAGATGCCTACACGACAAACACCATGGTCATCGGGGCCACAAGTGGTCATCTCAGAATCGCATCATCGCTAAATAGAATGCAACAATAAGTACACTTGACTCAACGCTCACCTCTTTAAATATATAGCGCTGTATACGACAACGTTCATTAGTACCGTTTGTACATAGTCTAGCCTTTTGAAACTTTTGCTACGCATCTCCATACGGCATGCGAAAGGGAGCGCGAAGATGCCCACCTCAATCGATGCGGCAGTGCCAAGTCACATACTATCGATAACATCACGTGAGCCCTGCTGGAAATCTGAATCAAGTCCGCAAACACCGGCAATATACGAATATTATAAACCTATCCCTATTTTTCTGGCACATACGGCCATAGGCGAAGTCCTGCTCTGGGTCTCGTTCGTTCCCCAAATGATAAACCTTCGACCGGCGGACTAGTAGTCAGGTGGGTGACCACTGGCGAATCCCCGCTGTCGTATGTTTTTTTTGGTTTTTTTGGTAGAGATGTGAAGGTCATGTAGAAAGGTCTTAGCATAGATGGCCTGCCTACTTCCAACAATCTGAATCGACATCCGCCGACCCCTCTCATAGAACTGAAATAGCCGAACACCACCAGACCAACTCTACAAGCGGCAGAATACCATGAAACTAGCCCTTTCGTTTGCGTGAGATGTCCACCTATTTCTGTTCTGCGGGAGCCCACCCTTCAACCTGAGATGAAGACTCATAACTCCCTACGGCTTTTCTAGCTCTTAATTTTCTACGATAACCTATGCAAGATGGCACTAGCTGACGCGTTCAGCTACCATATCTTAGTGGCACTCTCGATAGGCTCAGCGGTATCCTCGAGCTGCAGGCTTCAGCTCAGGCTGATGAGGAGGCTGAGCCATGCAGCTTTGGCCCCCACACATGCAATAGCTCTTGATGCGCCCATTTCTGCGCAGAAGGGGACAATTGGAACTCTACCTACTGCTACATCGATCAAGATTTACCATGCCTCCCTCTACTAACAGAGCATCGAGCAATCTAACTAAATTGGCCCATGCGCTAGGATTCACCGATTACCCAGAGGACAAGACAGCCGAACCGTATCTGAGCTACATTTTGAAGCAGCATGCTGGTAGTAAGGGGGAAGAGGACTATGTCGAGCTGTTCGTTAAGATCGTCAAGCACTTCCAGACCACCGCAAATGGTACTATGACGGCTGCTACAGTGCAGTCGATCATAGACGAGCTTTTCTTGACAGGCTTCCGCGGGTTTTTCGCGAACACTACTGTCGGAGATGGCAAGGAGCTTGTTGAGGATGCGGTCATGTGTATACTTGGAACATGGGCTACAATGCTCAGCTCCTTTCAAAACAAGCGCCAGTGTCGTAAGGTTGTGGCAGCATACTGTATATTTGCAGAAGAGACGCGAACACACAATGCAGCACTCATGATGAAACCAGGGACAACGACAGGAACAACGGCAGGGGCGACAGGAACAACAGGAACAACAGGGACCGTACCCGTAACGTCATCTGCAACTCCAGCACCCTACAGTCATTCTCTTTCTGACCTCATTGCACATAGTGGTCTTCTACCTGGTGGGAAATGGGATCAAAGAGTAGACGTGGTGGGAGATGCAACCACAAAATTCGTATCGCTGATGCTGAACACCTCGAATATTCAAAATCAAAACTCTTTACAGCATTTGTTTGCAACTACACCCGGGCAAGCTCTGCCACATGGTACGTCATTTTGAAAAGCTAGGACTGCAACCTAATGAAATTTTTTGACACTATGTTTAGCAATGTCGTCCTATGCTATGTTAGATGATCTTGGTGTTCAAGAGTCACTGTCCATTAGTGCGAAACGTCTCAACGCTTTCACTCTAAATGTGCTCAGCGGAGTGGATGTTCAATGGACACCCAATGTATCACGCCACCTACTTCTTACCAATGTAGGCGGACGCCACGTTCTGGAACTGTTCTCGTTGCCATGTGCTTTCGATTCCATCACATCTCCCGCTGTAGGCATATCGTGGGAGCTCAAACAAGAGATTGAAGATTCATATGCTATGCTATTCAACTCATGGTACATGAAGCCATTACATGTGAAATTAGGAGCATTCATTGGGATCCGCAGAGTGTGCTGGTGCCGGTTGTGCTGCGCCTACCGCTACCGTAAGCGATGCATCCGCGCCTGTCGCTCACGTGGTCCGGCGACTTCACTACGCAGGATCAATAACGCAGCGAATCCAATCCACAGCGATTTCGACCCGGTTCTAGAAAACTTGATGATGAAACACTCAATGAGTGATTGGACGCCAGAGAGCTTCCCGTCCCTCTGGCCGCGCATTGCTCGACTCGAAAAACACCTTCAGTCGTCAAGACCTTGGAGTCTATGGGTGCTATTTCGCGATCGCAGGGACACACTGCAGTTCTGGACGTTTCTGTAGGTTTGCGTATTGTATATCAAGCGATGCAGGCTAACTGGCTTAGATTTGGTACCTTGATCCTCTTTTTGACCGTCATGCAGGTCTTTCTTAGTATTGCGCAGGTTGTAGGCTCCTTCAAGTAGCAATCATAACTGAGTGGAAAGGCTTGCCTCATTGTGCCACGTGTTGAAAAGAAGTTGCCGAGTTACAAGATTCTGTACTCCTGTCGAAGCTCGTCCGGCACTTGAAAAGCACCATAAAATGCTACGAACCCTTTCCTCAATCTCTCCTCCAAGTGCGCACCCTCTGGCAAATTGAAATTTTGCGTGTGCCCGCTCCTCTGTACAAAACTCTGGAAGCCTACTATGCCAGGCCCTTGGCTTCCATCTTCCCTCTTGCCATCTGCCCACAATGCTACTCCGCTGTAGCCATTGGGTGTGTCAAAGTCCGGACTTACACGGTAGAGTACCGCTCGCGATACAAATTTTCTCCAAAACGACTCATCGTGGCTCTCCAAAGCCTTGCTACCAGCAGCAGCAGTTTGATTGAGAAACACACCTTCACCCACTACGGTGGCCTCGGAGTTGGTATGGCATTTGATGCATTTTGCCTGCTTGTCGGGTCCTGTTGGCCCAAGAATTTTGATGGCCGCAGAATGCTGGCGCAGTGATGACCGGGCATCTTGACTCAGCCAGCCAAGATCGTCAATTGGAGTCTGAATGTTTGCGATCAGCGCTTCTCTGTCTTTGTTTGGCTTGATCAGAGTGATGTCGTGGTTGAAACCGGAGGGGTAGTGTTCTGCAGCTTGGTCGAAGCTCTTCTCGATGGTACCAATCTGCTTCTGTGTCAGTCGTGCTTTTACAAATACCCGGCAGAGATTTCCATGTTAGCGCTTACTTTCAAACCCCCTGCCCAAATCTCAGCATGCTCATTCCAGTCATCTTGGAGTCGTTTTATCCGATTGCGGGTTAGACCGATGAATGTTTTGCTCAAGATTGCTTCTGTGATGACGTGCGTCGATATGACCAAGTAAGGTTGATTGAGTTCACCACTCTTTGCTACCTTTAAGCCAATTCTCCCTTCGAACTTCGCTCGTGATATAGACGATACGCGTGCTTCAATCAAGTCATTGATCTGCAAGGACTGAGCTGATCGAGTCTGCCTAGATGGGTGCGCGAATGGGACGCTTGGCGTTTGTGATGTTGCAGATGTCTGATGAGCGACTGTTACATTGGACTGAAGCATAGTCGGCTCCATAGTGTTCATGATGTAGCATACCTTCAGTCCACCAAAGCTGTGAGGTAAGTGAGAAGATGCCCATTCAGTTTCGAAAGTATCAGGGACGATGACCTGCAACAGACCGCTGATGAGAGCGTAGAAACCCAGGGCGCCTTTGAATGTAAGAAACAGATCCCGTACGACATCCATCGGTAATTCGGCTCAAGGATTTATAAGTGACGATGTTCTGGGATCTGGTGGGGGTTTTACTCCACCAACGGGTGGCCATCTATGTTCTACCGGTATCACGACAGGAGCGTGAGCAATCGTGAGAGGGATTTGTTTTGGCTCGCCATCCAGCAAAGGTGTGCATGACCAACAGCCATTTTCGGCGGCACCTACAAGACGATTGGTGATGAATTCGATGTCCCATTTGTAAGAATCAGGAAGCTGATCTTGAATTTCTTCCCAACGAGAAGGTAGTTTTTCTGCTGTTTCCGCCAGTACATGTCGTACTGTGGGCTTGTCCACAACTTCTGTAGCAGGAAGACAATCACAGCCGATCTTGGCAATTGCCTGGCTATGTACCCCATCGTCGTTCCTTTCGCTGAGTAGCTGATCTTGGTTTTCCACAGATGAGACGAGGGTTTGAGCGTTCGCATCGAGTGGAGAACGAAGGTCGATTTCCTCCTTTTTGGCGCGAAATGCCATAGTCGTGGGAGTATTGCTTGAGCTAGTTTCAGTCTTTTTTCCTTTCAAAGCTCGCTGGTACATGCGCTCAGCTTGCTCGAACTCTCCTTGCCCGGCGTAGAGAATGCCCAAGCTGCTGACCATCTGGAGTGTCAATGTGTGGTCTAGCCCGAGTGCCCGCTCGTATGCAGCCAGCGTTCGATAGTACATGTGTATAGCTAGGTCGATCTTGCCTTCTTTTACGTAGAGAATGCCTAAGTTTTTAACTGTGTCAAGTGTCGATATGTGGTCTGCCCCGAGTACCCGCTCGTATCCAATTAGCGCTCGCTGGTACATCTGTACCGCACTCTGCAAGTCCTCATCTGCAAGAAGATTCCCAAGCCTATCAAGTAATTCGGGTCGTATCGAGGCCTCGACAGCCTGCTTTCCACCTAACTCACCATTGTCCATCATCCATCTACTAACACGGAGCCCATGCACCATAATCCGCTTCCGCTTCCTCCAGGACTCTACTTCCAGCTTCACAGGCACAAGTGATGCCACCAGAGCTACTGCTAAGCAGCCCAGCACCTGCTGCTCCTTGCCTTTTACCTGGGAACTACACTATCGATGCAGCATCTCGTGCATCGAGTAGCTTTCTGTGTCTTGTTTGTCATCTACAAGCGAGTAGCGTGATAACAGCCTCATTGCATCATGAAATGCTAGCTCGTCCTGAATAACCTCTAGTAGCGAAGTTGGAACATCCATCTCTACAGCTAGATCCTTGCACGCTGATATTAGCTCGTACCATACCTCTCCGCTGTCTAAAAACCCTAACAGCTTTAGTAGACAGCCTGCCCCGTCGCTCTGTCTCTGCACTTGCTCGTATGACATAGTCCAGTTAGTCCCCACGGCATGATAACTCTACTCACTAAGCCCGAAGCGACTGTCATTCTCCATCAGACGAGGCAACGTAAAGATGTAATGCATCGTATATATGTCCGTCGTCACATTCGTCTCGCGTGTGTACGACCCAGCTTGCGTGAGGGCTAGTGGGAGCCCACCGAGAAGTTCAATGACTACGTCGGCATCTGTACAAAACATATTAGTTACGATGTCTCCTTTTAGCAGATAGAGTCTTTCTCGTACATTCTACCGCTCTCCTAGCATTGATCTCGAGTATAGCACGGCCTTGCTCTTCTGTCACTGCTCCCACTTGGACGCCAGACCCAAGCTGTTGAAGGCTAGCCAGTCGGCTCGTAATCAAGATTGACCCGTGATCTGCGTGTGGGAAGTAGTACTCCACGTCATATGCCGGCAGGTCGTCCTGGTTGTGATTATGATAGTCGCTGTCAACGTTATCTATGATCAGCAGCCAGTGAGAGTTTAACGACATAGACAACCATTGCAAGCACTCACGCACCGCCACGTCAGCCTCGACAGCCTCGACAGCGGCCTGGCTGAGTATCTGCGCACCATTAGCTGTCAGCTCGGTGGGCGGAAGTCTCTGCACCATATCAACAAACGAATGCTCAAGGCTGGTCTTAGATGATCCGTCTAGCCAGAATACTGCGCTGAACTGGTGATGGTGCTTTCGCGCAAACTCCACTACTAGCTGCGTCTTACCAACGCCGCTAAGCCCATGGACGATCACTACTTTCCGATGACTCGTGGTGAGAGGAATACCGATAAGAGCCTCCTCAAGGACTTGCATCTCTGCATCTCGGGCGACAAACTGGTGTAATACAGGTACGCCTTTGAGACTAAAGTCGATCTTGTGCTCTCTCACACCTAGTATCATTAACCCATCTTGTTTAATCTAGTAGGGGCTACCATTATAGTTACCTTGAGATTGCGGCCATGAGAGCTGAGGGGATGCCTTCAAGATTTTCCGAAACACATCTGCGAATGTCTCAAAGCCTTGCTCGTGCACGTTCTCGAAGATGTTTATAGACTCAGACGGGACTAGGCGCCCGATGTACCTGTCGATCATAAATCCCTACACTTGTTTTTAACATGGTCACTGTGTGCGGTGTCTATCAACCTTACAGTCGGATCCTGCTCGGATTCAACCTTCCCCACGTTACTCGGCTTAGACTCATAGAACCAAGCGAGTTGAGTCTTGTTTGTCTGGCCCTGCCTCTTTTTTGAAAAGGTGTCTACTAGTTCCTGTAGATAGGCAATGCCTGACTGCGGTATCTGGTAGCCGTGATACTCAAACCACACTGCCTCGAGGATCTCCATCTGCTTCATCCTCTGGGCGCCTCGGAACGGTGTGCCGAAGAGGACCAGACCAGTATTTGACGAGAATATTCCAGGCCATTTTTCAGGGTGCTGTTCGGCTTCTAGCAGTGCCTATGGAAACATTTAGTAATGGCTGCATCGTTTCTAGTACGTCTATCCGTCCTCTTACCTCAAGCACAATCAGCCCGCCAAAGCCGTACGTCACAAACACCAGCGGACGGAACGGAGCACGCTGACAAAGTCAGCGGATACACGACGCCCACTAAGCACGTGCCTGCACCTTTCTTTGTTGCTTCAACACTCTTAGAAACCGCCCGGCCATGAGAGCCATGCCGTGTCGCATTTCTATATGGCCGAACCACAGCGATGCATACCCATACCGCATAATGCGCGCGTTTGGCGCTACCGCTGGTAGCATATCATCCTCGATGAGCCAGTTGCGCCATTGCGGCTCTTCTGCCGTACCAACGTTCTTACACCATCTCTCGTCGGGATAGGCGCCGAGACCATGGATTACAACAATACTAGCCGGCCTGTGAGTTGTAGGTAAACGGAAATTGTACTTAAGCAAGCGTACTCAATGTTCTGCACTTCTTTTGGTGCTTCGCGGAGCACCTTCAGGCCCTCGTCTTTGCAAGTGAACAGCTGATCCTAGCCCTGCGTTAGCCTCGCCACGCGCTCATCCCACAATACGTCTCACTATTGCTAAATCAAGAACGACTTGTAACATTGACATTGCCAGATAAGGGGTTGGGGGTAACAGTAATTGGTAAACGAGAGGAGAGGAGAGCCAGACCGAGAGAGGTCGACGCAGCGAGGCAACCAGCCAGGCTAAGATGCGAAGCTGAAAAGAAGCTGAACGTCACGGGGGTTGGTTGTCGTAGCGATACGCACCACCCTCACCTGCATTGAGCCTGCTGGCTTGCACTAAATTGTGTGGCAGCAAGCCATTCAGGTTGCATGCCACAACTAAATAACCAGCCTGCAACGTTAGTAGAATCTTAATCAGTGCTGCAGCGCCAGCTCACTAGAAAAAGCGCGGTATATAAAATACATGACCTTAATTATTTGCATCTGGTTGACATATGGCGTATCGGCCATGATACTCTGAACCGGAGACCCAGGCGGGGGCCAACCCTCGGGGATCCATTGGGTACCCCTCTGGCCTATGAAGCCACAATCACGTGCGCATAGTAAATAGCAGGCCACACCCCAACCTAACGGAACTGAATACCAAAAAGAAGACTTTACATAAAATACATGGCTTCTATTCTCCTTTAACCTGATCTTAGGCAGCCATGTTTCTTGGTTGTGCGGGATGAACGTTACTACAACATTCTCTCTTAACTAACTAGTCAGAGAATGCATCCCTACCCACACAATACCTACCATTGCATCCCCTTCCCAACCAATATGAAACAAGAGATTCAAGTCCAACAGAGGTATATCCACGTTACACCACTCTAATATAGGCGTGTCTAATAGCTATATACCCACCGAAGGGTATACATATCATCAATAGTATTACTAACCGATTTTCCATGGTTCCAAAGCAGACTCTCACTTGCGTAAATCTTAGAGCCGAAGCTTTAAGGGCTTTATATACGTAGGCTGCTCATTCGTCTTCCCTCTTACCACACATTCTTTCCCCTAAACCCCAATTCCAGCAGGTTAAGATGCGATCTGCTATGCTATTCTAAGAAGAAGAAAAAAAGAATAATAATCTGATACGTTATAATCCCTACATTGCAACTCGGAACCTAAACTATACTAAACCTTGGATTTTCTTTTTGTACTAGTAAGAATATCCACACCCCACACACGCACACGCACACGCACACAAATATCCACTTTGAACCACCCTGAGAAAAAAAAACAGATTATATTCATGGCTTTCCAAACTCACGTTCAGCAGAAACACCAGGTGCAACATAGATACATGTACAACACACCGCACAAGATAGCTTCATGAACAAAATCAGGGTCGGTTGGCGCAATGGTAGCGCGTGGCCCTCCTACTATGCAAGTGATCTACATATAGTAGAGCAAAGCAAAGCAAAGCAAAAAAGGCCAAGGTTGCGGGTTCGAGTCCCGTACTGATCGGACATGAGATGGTTAAATTGTGTGTTCTTGATTGTAACTTGAAGGAGATGGGTGGAGGTGGTGGAGCATATTTTTTTTGGGAAGTGGATATAGACATGTCACGTGCGCTATTGCTGAACATTACGAGAAGACTTGGCTGGGATATGAAATACACTTCACATCACTTAACAATCACATCACACTCAGAAATCAACATGTGTTTTCTTGGAAAAAGAAGTCTGGAATTACGCTCATCATGAAACTCATACACGTCATGAACATATCCGCAGCTAAATGAAGCACGAAAAGGGACAAGACTACTAGTAAAGCCAGGCGCACAAACTCCACCCCCCACCATTGGTGACGAGACAGTAGAAAAAAAGTGGAAAAGTTGAAAAAGAATAACAAGAAGAGAACAAATCGACGCACTCCATGCGCCGGCCCTCGACTAAGTATCAAGCAGAGATATCCCAAAAGGCCAATATGCTAACATTGGCAATTCCCAAAAACGCCGGAGCCCCATAATATGTAAAAAGACATTTGCAGCGCCAAAAGCCAGGCAGGTATGCTGGATGGTCGAGAACTTGACTTGGACAGGAGAGAAACGAAGCGAGCACAATCGTAATAAATGTAGTGTCCCGTGGCGCCATGCTAGAACTCCGTTGCGATGGAGATGGAGACTAAGAAGTGGAAAATCCGGAAACGTTCATCATGCTTTGGTTCGTGAGATGGCGTTGCCGACGCTGCCAACACGGCCGCTGGTTTTTCGTACACCAGCCTTTCCATCGGTGCTTCGCCGCGAAGGACTTGATCGCACCTTGGTCATGCTGATGCTGCCATTGCCGCTCTTCTCCTTTGGTGTCTTTGGCCGCGCGCCGGTTGGTGCGGTGTTCTCGAGATCGCTCTCTTCGCCGTAGCCAAAAGATGTGTGTGTTACCGAAGTCTGGATGACAGACGTGGTGCTGAAAGCACGGCGTTGTTTATCCTTAAGGGTGGGCGAGCGCTGGGGCGAACGCGACGATGTTCGTCGGGCAATCTGGCGAAGGTGGAACTCCTCGTCTGACTCGCCGTCGAAGCGTGTAATCTCCGCCCTGACCTCTGTGTGCGACTTTGTGAATGGCTCGTTCTCGTCAATGCGCTGGGGTGACTGTCGCGATCCGTTGCCGTAAAGCTTGCTAGTCTTTCGCGGCTGGCCAGGTGTCGGCGCCGGCAGGTTGTCGTCTAACACACCAATATGTCCTGAATTGCTTCGCTCGTTCGACTCAATCTCGCCCAGAGCTGCGCGCTTCTGCGATCCGTTGGGGGGAGTAAAGGTTTGTCCGTTGCTAGCAAGGCGTTGCTTGTGCGATGACTTTGTGGGTGTGGAAGGTACCATCTGAGCATACTTGGCCTTCATGGTGTCCTCGTACCACCACTCGCGGAAAGTGCCCTGGTTCAGGTGCAGCCAGTGCTGTTGAGGGCCCACGACCATTCCTGGGCGCATGAATCGCATGTAGGCGATGATCTCGTTGGCAGTGAAGCCGTGCTTGTAGATGAGGTATGCTCCAATGAGGCAGCCAGTTCGTCCAAGACCAGCCTTGCAGTGGACGGCGATGCCTCGCTTTTGTACAGTGATCATCTCGTGTGCAAGGTTGACAAACTTGCGAACAAGGGATAGAGGCGGGCATGTTCCATCGTCGAAGATCATGTTCAGGTGCTGAATGCCCAGCTTGGTGAAGTATGAGGACGAGTACAGCTCCGAGTTTAATCGAACGACGAGGCCGACGTTGCGCGCGCAGAAATGTGAGAGTACGTTCTTGAAAGGGCTAGGAAGGTCGGATCTTTGAACCTCGGCAATATTGGAAGGAAGCGTCGCATACATGGGCGAGGAAGCGGGGATCTCGTGTGTGGGCTTTTGTTGTGGCGAGGCAAAGGCAAGGAAGTCGGGGGTGATCCAGTTGAAATCTCCCATATCTACACGCTCGTACTTTTCGTATCTGTCAAAGTCAGCAGCTGAGAGAAAAAGCAAAAAGGGCACACGTACTCCTCCAGACTAAAGTCCTTGAGTCCGCAGAGGCCTTCTTCCTTGGCTTTCCAGACACCGTAGATGACATCCTGGATGTTGAGCACATAGTCAGCCTGGCTGTAGCCGGCGTCGCGGAAGGGCATGCAGGGAGGATCCATTTGTGCGATGGGTGCGAGGGCCAGGTGAGGAGGCCATGACTGGATAAGCACCATGTAGCATGCCAGGATACAAGCAGCGTTTGCGCGACCTAAGCACGTTAATTGGTGCGCAAAAGCGGCAGAGATGGAGTGTTCTTACTCCTCGAGTCGGCGTTGCTCCAGAAGACGACTGCGCGATCCTCATTGGCGGGGTCGCCTAGTACCTCGTGCAGCTGAACGGCGAAGCGGTACAGGTGACCAATGTGAAGTGGGCCAAAGTCACCGTGGAAAGCATTGTACAAGAGTGTCTTGTCAATGCTAAAGTAGACGGGCGGGAGCACCTTGTGTGCTGGAGCTGTAGGGCCGCCATGGGCGCGCGACGAGCGCTTGGAAGGCGACTGCGACTGCTTGGGGTAAGGGAACGGGGTAGACGCATCCGGAGCATACGTGTACGAGGCCAGGTAGAGACGGTCTTGGATGTACTAAGGGGCGCAGGATCAGTATTTAGACCAATGGCGCATTGTTTTGGCGGTTGTTTTGGTGCTCACCTCAATGACCTGGCCGTAGCTGGTCGTGGACGCGCGAGGCATTTTGGAAGTCCGCTCGCGGTGCGAAGACATGAACAGGAGGGGGCGACTCTCAAAGTGCTTGCCTGTTACAGCGGGAGGAAGTGGCGATGGGCTACGGCGCACGAAGATATGGGAGCGTCACGAGAGGCCGACTTGGGATGAGAGCAGCAGACTCGGCGGCGCGGCGCAGCGGAGGCGGGCGGAGAGGTGGTGGTGAAGGAGAGGCTGGCGGCGAGATGGCGAGAAGGCCGTCTGCTGTTCCTGCTGCGGTCTGGGTTAAGGAATAATGGTAGAGATGGCCGTGGTGCAGGAGTGGTTGCAAGTTTAAGCACATGTCGGTGTTGTTGTTGTTTACAGGCGCACGGACGGCGGCACTAGCTCCGCTCCATGGTTTCGGCACACCCGCCAACAGCATCACAACAACTCTGGACGAGGGGGCCCGAGCGCCATGACAACAAGGCACGAGCGGCCGTCCTCCCCTACTGCGCATCCGCCGCACTGCCCGTTGTTATGCTCCTGCAACATGCACCGCTGAGTTGGCCACTTGTAGCCCCTCTCTACCCGGCCTGGACTGCTCTCGTCTCTAAGGAAACCAACGCTGTCGGCCTTCTCCCTGCAGCCGTCGTTCCTCCTAGTACATGACCTCACAGGGTCCAGTGCCACAGCCCATGTGCTTCTGCATCTGCATCTCCATCATGCCGCCATTGCTGCCACCCGGCTGCCATGGTAATGCTGACACCCGTCACACAAGCACGCAGGTCCGCCCCTGTGGCTTCACCCTGATTGCCGTGCCTGCAGCTATCCTGCAGGGGAACTGGTGTTGTGTGGTGTTGTGTGGTGTGGTGTGGGTAGACATGTGTATACAATACGTACATGTCTCCAACGGTATCGATAAGACGCTTATTGGCCATCGCCAAACATGCACCTTGTAAAACATAACATCACCTGACGACCGCAACTAAACTCCCCCCACGCCTCATCACAACAACATTCACCCATCTCCAAAATCGCCCTGTGGAAATGATACGCAGAGGCAGAACCGAGGGATGGCTCAAACAGCCCATTGATGCATTGCCTACCTGGGCCGCTTTTCACGGCGTCACCTTCAACAAGGTCAAAATTGGTCCCCTGCCTGGCCATGAGGACAGAGGCTCAACCGTCATCGCCGACCAGAACCTCCAGGGAGGCAATGTCGACCCTCTCATCGTAGTGCCCAAAGAATTGATCATCTCTCGTCACAATATAGATCTCCTTGCAAAGTCGGATCATCGTCTACATGATCTTCTCGAAGCCCTTGGAGACTTTGGAAGGGTGCGTGATAGACTCTGGCAACCCACAGAGTACCCATAATAGTAACACTCTGCAGACAACAAGAGGCGCCGTCCTCTCATTCCTGCTCCTCCAAGCTACCATCTGTTGCCCAGACACAAAGGATGTGGGTCTGCTGAATCCTCTAACACAGTATATCAAGTTTCTCCCGGATGAGCTTCTTCCCACTTTTTGGACAGAGGAGGAGCGAGAGCTTCTCGTCGGAACCACGCTCAAGCCTGCCGTCAGCGCAAAGCTCAATAGTCTACTGCGCGAGTTTGAGAACCTGCGAACCGCTACAGAGTCCATCCCATGGTGCAATAAGTTTTGGTGGGACGAAGAAGACGGCATGCTCACCTTTGATGATTGGATGCGAATCGATGCAATGTACAGGTCCAGAGCCTTGGAATTCCCAGGTGCTGGCGATTGCATGATGCCATGCGTCGACATGGCCAATCACGCATCGGGTAATGCCACAGCCGCCTTATATGAAACAGATAGCAACGGGAATGGCTTGCTCCTACTTCGAGAGGGCCAAAATATTGAACAAGGGGGCGAAGTAACAATCACGTATGTCGCCAAAAACGGACAAAAACAATGCGCTGACAAACGTAGCTACGGTGACGACAAAGGCGCGTGCGAAAACATCTTCTCATATGGATTTCTCGAAGATGGTATGGCCTCTGCAAAAGTCATGTTCCTGGATCTCGACATTCCAGACGATGATCCTCTCAGACCTGCAAAAATGTATGTCTCAACAGAAGCGCCAGGATTTCGCATCTTCGAAAAAGACGGCGAGATACATTGGGAAGGCGACTTCATATGGCTTGTTGTAGTCAACGAGGAAGATGGATTAGACTTCAAGGTCAGACAAACCACCGATGGCAAGAAAAGCATCCAGGGTTTTTGGAGAGAGAGTGAGCTGGATACCTCCAAGCTACGTAAACATCTTGAAGAGGACGCAACTTGGGACGTATTCCAGCTGCGTGCGACAGTCCTCCTGCAAGCCCGCATTGATACGCAGATCGAGGCGCTCAGGGGCGCTGAAGACATCAAGCGCGAGGACACTATTCGTGAATTACCATGGAAACTAGCAGAGCGGCTCCGAAGCTTAGAGCTGGACATGCTCCAACGTGCCGCATCCGTCTTTGACAAACAGGTGAGTACCATCTCTTCTTCTCGCGCCCCACGTCCTTCGTTTCAAGATGGTTATATATTTCACTGTTCATCGGTAAGGATACAATCCTCACCGCCTGGGTTGCCAAGTGCATGTTGGTGCAAGTCGGCAACGTGCGCCTGATCGACCACACGTGCAGAACGCGTCCCTGCAGCTGCCACGTGCAACAAGGAACAGACACTAACGCTGACTACTACAGAGAGCAAAATTGTTAGATTCACCCACTGTCATACACTATCTGGGTATGGATGAACAGGAGGAAGAAGTTGATTTTTCCTGAACAAGCATGGATCAATCCAGTCCTACTTGCTTTCTCATAGGCACGGCGATATCAGTGACAGATCATCCGGAAGCAAGCGCATTCACCACAAAAGATGCAACGAAGCAGTGATTTTCTGCCATGTATATCGCATCGCTCACTTATCTGATAATATGCCTTCTCCTATGGCCGGCACACAGGTATTCAATATTAGAGTATAGCTTAGCAGTCGTGATGAGTTGTAGTGTCGTATGTAGACTGTAGACAATACGATCACGCCACGTCGTACGTTCAACAGAGATCAGCTACCCAATACCAATGAACGGTATGCAAGATGTCTTTTCTGCAAAGCTAAGGGCGATCCTCATGGCTTGAGTGGGATCAACCGCTTGTCACTTTGTGTACTAAGCAGCATTCTTCTAGAACAATATCAGGGTAGCCCAGGATTGCGCTTGTTTGCTTGGGTAAATTCAAAAAGCCCGTAGCAAGGGTGGCACGCACATGGAGTAGATATCGAGAGAACATAGAGTAGTGTATATGAATACGAGCAGCAAATGAGGCGTGGTTTCTTAGCGAAAAGGCCTCTGGTACTATACCCTCCATGAAGATGACTCGTGGGTCGACTCCAATAACGACAGTTCTACGCCGGTCTAGCGTGTCACGAGGCAGACGAGGGGAATAAGGCCCAACATGCGCACTGTGGCTGACGTCTTTCATGTTGTTTCGTCAAGGCCAACACTCCGTGGAGGATCAAAGGGCCGATCATCACACGCGATGAGGGACGCCGAGAACGGCCGTCAAGCAGCAGTCAGCCCCGCATGCTGATCGCAGCCAGTCATGATTAAGGTTTGGTGGCTAGTGATGAGCGAAAATGTATCGGCAACGACGCCTGCTGCTCGTCTGTGGCCTGATGGGATTGGGATGGCGCCTTTCCGCCCCCGCAGCCACCCACAAATTCCCCAGAATCTGACTAGACCAGGGTGGCAGGTGGCAGCTTTATGTACATTTGCCAGGCCGCTCCGATTCTTCCGCTCACCTTTAACCCCCTCGTTCAATCTGGGCACACGCTCACCTCGACTTTAACCGGCTGTATCTACACTGCGACACCAGCACACGTCTCTCGACGCCAACCACAGTCAAACTCTGCCGACTACACGCTTTTCGCAAACTCAGGAACGCCGGACCATCGCATGACAGGACCCAACACTACCTACTAGCGACTGCCCGTTGGGCCTACGACAAGCAGCACTTCCACACCATTCACGACGCGTGGACACGAAAATATCGCCACCATGCCCGGAATATTGCCCATGAAGGTCATCAAAGTCGGCTCGAGCTGCCAGAGCCGCATCGCCCAAGCCTGCGATCGTTGTCGCTCCAAGAAGATACGATGCGATGGTATCCGCCCCAGTTGCACCCAGTGTACAAATGTTGGATTCGAGTGCAAGACGAGTGACAAGCTCAGTCGTCGTGCTTTCCCAAGAGGATACACGGAGTCTTTAGAAGAGCGCGTCCGTGCTTTGGAAAGCGAAGTTCGGGAACTCAAAGACCTGCTGGACGAAAAGGACGAAAAGATTGACATGCTATCGCGGATTCACTCGCATTCTCCAGCATCGCAAGCACCTGCAAGACGAGCATCGCCACAATCTCCGGGAATATCGGACGGCCGTGAAGAGTCACAAGAGAAGGACGACACATTCAAGGTGCAGCAGGCACCACATCTCCTCGACGATGTAAATCATGATTCTTACTTTGTAGGCAGTTCGGCTGGACGAACACTTGTTGGTACGATCTTTGCTCCCTCTCCGGCAGCACCCATGTCTGACATTTCGCAGAGGCCTTCAAGCAAAAAGCACAAGAAGCAGGCAGACTCTCAACTGACGTTGACTCGAGTGTCTTCTTCGGCGCAGGTGCAAAGCCAGCTGCCACTCAATCAAAACGTCCAGTATCGTTCAAGGCTCCTCCTCGTCTAGTCTCAGACCAGATGGTCAACATATTCTTCCAGGAGTGGGCACCGCTGTTCCCAGTCCTGCATCGTCCAACCTTCTTAGGTCTATACGAGCAATATGTTGCCAGCCCAGACACTATGACCGACAAAAAGTCCATTGCCCAACTCAACCTTGTTTTTGGAATCGCTGCACTTTCGAGCGACGTACGTACCCGAAACCTGTCGCGTGCTTGACTACAAACTGACACTTCGCAGCCTCGCGACGGCCAAGATGTCGACTCTTTCGAAGCCCAGTGGCAAAGCGCGATCAAGAGCTTCTTGATGGCCAACGATATAACAACTCTGCAGTGTCTTGTTCTTGCTCAGATCTTCTGCCTCTTGAGAGCGGATTACTCTCAACTGCTCAAGTACAAAGGCTTGGCTGTCGGCCTGTCACAACGTCTTGGCCTGCATCAGTCCCAGAAGCGCTTCGCACTTGACGCGCTGACATGTGAAACACGCAAGAAGACGTTTTGGTCACTCTACACTGTTGACTGGTAAGCTTGTGTCACTGAGAAATCGCCGCCACGTTGCTGATTATCTGTAGCTTTTCTGCTGCACACATTGGTCTTCCGAAACTGATTCGCGAGGAAGATGTGCACTGTGAGTATCCTGCAGATGCTGATGACGAATACGTCACAGAGAAGGGATTCCTGCCGACATTGCCGGGCGAGTATACCAAGCTCTCCAGTGCGCTAGCGCTCTTCCGCCTGTCACGTATCCTGTCCAGGGTTCTCATGGAACTCTATCCCGGATCTGCGTCTCATGACATCTCTTTCCGCACCATAGCAACGTTGGCCGACGAATTAGAGGACTGGCAAAGCAACCTTGCACCGCACCTCAAGCTCACATTCGCACAAGACAAACCCAGCACCAACGTCACTAGCAGCCGTTCTCCGATTTTGGTATGTATAATCTGCATGACGCGAGGTGCCTGAGTACTAACAACGCCAGTCTCTTGCATATCACCACGTCAGGGCTCTGGTGTACCGTCCAGCTGTTGTTGCCAATCTTGGCGACAGAGCGTCTTCGGCTGTCGTAGCCGTTGGTGATGCCTGTAAACACATTGTGCAGATTGTCGAGCTCCTCGATGAACGCAAACTCAGCTTCTCCTTCTGCCTCAACCGCAATGAGGTTCTCGTGCAAGCTGGTTTCGGTCTGCTTTTCCAGGCGCTCAACCTGGCCCGCGAAGGCAAGCTCATCAAAGAAAGCAACCGTCTCATTTGTACTGTCATGGACATGCTCGAGCACGGAAATGCCGCTGGCTACCCTGACTTCCGCCGGATAGGCTGTGGCATCGTGGCTGTACCAAACGTGGATCAGATGCCAGCACCACCCCTCTCGCGGCACAACTCTGATCAAAATATGGGCGCGCCTCTGGATACTTTCCGTGCCACACAAAAGTCGCTCAAGGCTTTGGCGGCACGCTTCTCCCCAGGTGCCTTGAAAGCTACTCGTGCAGACGCTCGGGAACCGCGTCGTGCAACGCTTCCTGCTCTGTCGCCACACGTAGGCTCTCATCCTAACCACTCGTCAACGAGTTTATCTTCAATTCGGTCAGAACCTCCGACAGCCCGCTCAGAGCCAACTTTGAGCCCATTGTCTCACCGTGCATCCTTCTCAATGCCAAACAAGCGCCACCCGAGCCAATCTGGTAGTCAACAGCAGCAGCAGCAGCAACGCAATATCGACTACATGTCTTTCCCGATGGATCCATTAGCTGGTTATGTGATCTCAAATAGCAACCAAGCTATCAAGTCGGAGGTTTCGCCAGCAGATTGGGAGCGTCTTCTCTCATCACTGGACAATGGACAAACAAACATCTACGATACAATTTATGGCGGTCCACCAGCCGACGCTCTACTCGATATGACACCCTTGTCTGCTACCACTGACAGCAACACTACATGGTCGCCCAATGTCTGGAACTGGAACAGTTACGCCTCCGAGGCCCCACCACCCCAGAGCGTTCTGAGCTTCAGCGATGAGAGCTTGACTAGCGGAGAAGAATTCAATAATGCTGCTTGCGAATATGGGTCTACGCCTGGTAGCGATGGCCTGTACCCGGGTATCATGATCCCTGGCGATTACGAGGATACCGCGAATCTGGTTGGGCTGGACGGCAACTACTCCGGATTGTGAGGTATGGGTATAATGATGCAACGACGTGATGATTGGTTTATATATTGGAAGATATGCGTCTAGTGTAAATAGGCGTCTGGGGATTTGGAGTCCTTTGGATTTGGTTCACAGTTTCATTTGACTTTTAGTTTTTGTTGTCTATTTGAGATACCAAGCTCTCCACAAGAGCAAAACCGCCGCTGGGTGGACGAGATTCCGAGTCGTTCTTCCCTTTGTCATTTCTATTCGGCAGAATGTAGGGTTCATTATTGGATATAATCTTTTTAGTTTCATAATCATTCAACTATCATCACGAGTGTTCCGGATATCTTCCTTCTTTTTTTAAAAAACTTTCAAAAGATAAGTGATTCAATTTATCCTTCATTATCTCCAAAATACCCTTCTTATAGCATGGTACCTGGCAAAACACCCCCAAGCATCTTATCTCCTTACCTTGCCACTTTCTTTGGATAGCCCGAGTTTCAGATTCACTACACACCATCGTACCCAGAAATGCGTACATCGCAATCAGCCTAAATTACCCCAGACACAGCGCGCAGGGCTGAAGAAGCATTTAATGAATCCGGGGTCTATACCTGACACACACTCACCTGCTCACGTGCCCTTTCTTCCAAAAATCTCGCCCACTCATTCCACAGGAAAAACTTTCTACCCAACAAACAAACTTCATCAAATCTCACCCGCACCCACCCACCCTCCCTCCTTCTCACCGCTCTCTCTCCCGAACCCTCAAACCCACCGACCGAACCCCCCCTTGTCCGGCCCTCTCTTTCCCTTCCTCCCTCCGGAGCCTCTCCGGACAAAAGGAAAAAAAAGAAGGGACTCGAATCATGTTTGCTGCAAGTTTCAGCCACATTGTGCGCCACGCGGTCGTCACGACTGGAACATTGGAACAGTCCGTTTTCACCGCAGTAGTAGAGTAAGAATGAACAAAAATTTGTATAGTTGGGTGAGTGTGGAAAGGCGCATCTCGTACGCACGTAGTACCGTACCCAGATGCCGAGGTAAGGTATCTTGGTCATACGTGACCGGCATTTTCCAGAGGTTTGTGTCAAGTACGGGAGGGAAGGAGGGGCGGGGAGCTAGGGCTTGACATGGAAACATCACGGAGCACGGAGCACAGAACATGGGCACCGGAACATGGACTCGGGATGCGGACATAAAGAAAGTGGTGCGATACTGGGATGATTGCAAAAACAGCCAAACAAGGGAAAAACTGTGTATGGGGGAAGACCGAACCAGTCGTGCAGCGCCTCGTGGTCTTACACGTGGGGGGAGGATGGTGATTATGCGGGGTAAAGAAAAAACAAAAAAACAAAAACAGGGTGAGGCTGGGGAAGGTTCTTGCAAGGGTGTTGTGAGCGGAGGAGGGGTTGGTTAGTTGGTCTGGGGGGAAAAGAAGGTTTCATGGTTCGTAGTTCTTGATTTCTCTCTCTCTCTCTGCGGATTCATGCTTTTTACATTCCCACCCTTTCTCACATCTTGTCTGCGATATATCTCTCGTTTTCTCCAGTGAAGCAAGAAAATAAACTGCGAAAGCATACACATACAGCGTAAACATTGTATACTCCAGAAGCCCCTCCCCCTCCCCCATATATCAACATCTTCCCTTCGTACAAGAAAAACC